GAGCAGTGCTTGAATCTACTTTGGTGTAAAGCAGCACATCTCCCAAAGGTCTGTACTGAGCTGTGTTGGTTATTTTCTAGCTTACAGAATTTTCTGAAAACAGTATCACCCTATTATCCATTACCCTTGGCTTACAGGTGTAAGTTGCTCTGACACCCCATAACATTGGTCACAGTTATAAAAAAAATAAGGAGTTAAAACCAAGGTTGCTGAAGACATAGAGAAAAGTTTAAATATATTTCTTACCCACAGTCCAGCAATAGTGAGGTAATAAACATGTATGAAAAGAAGGTATCTCATTGAATCATGGAAAGACTAAGCAAAGTAAAACCTGAACTACAGTGCAATTTTAAAGAAAAAAGTAACATAAAATCAATGGAAATTCTGCAAATCATGGTAACTTCTTTAAGAAAAGTTGCCTATATTGATTTAGATTAATCTTTTCTTATTACCTACCTCTATTCAACTTATAAATAATGTAACTCAATGAGTGAGAACATGGCCATAAATAACCATTACACAGAAAACTTTCAAATATATTCTTCAAAAAATATGCTTTAATCTTATTGAGATGGAGGATGTATTTAGGGATGTAATACAGTTGGCTTTAAGTTCATGTATCTATGCATACAGTGCCAACGCAATAAAAGAACCAAGAACAAAGATAAATTTCCTGCTTCGAACACAAAAAGGGCTTATTTTGTAGAACCACCACCAGCAAACTAGCAAATTCCCAACTGGGGAACCTCTGATCATACTCTCCTCAAAGTTATTCCTTAGTGTTGAGCGACCACTAAGTAACAGAGTAATTGAGGTCCCTTCCAATGACAATTACTCTGCATTTCTAACAACAGTAGGTTGTGAAGGTAACAGACTCCAGCTACTTCCATGACAAGATCAGGTGGCCAAATTGACTGCAGCTCCAAATAAAAGAGAATCTGCCAAGGAACAGCCTAATGGACACGTTCCTGAAAGGGCAAAGGCAAACCTCCCACTCGGAGCAACAACTACTCAGCCCCTCCTCTATGAGCATTTCCCCTGTCAAATTCTCTCCGCAAATGCACCTTACCTGTGAACATCTGCTATGCAGACAGATCTTAAACACATATTTTTTCATTGTTTAATACTAACTTCCCATTTCACTGCTGCTGTGCTGCCTCTTTCCCCCCCTAATTCTCAATTCATGTTTTTTAAAATGAAATAAAAGCCTAAATGGGACATTTAAACTCTCTTTCCAGGAGATCCTACAGCCACTCCTGCCCAGGAAGAACACTGCAGCACAATTTTTAATACAGGTAATTTAAATTTATTAAAATGTCAGAAAATGATGCATGTCAAACAAGAGTTAGATATTGCTATATACACTCAGAAAATAATAAAAATTATCTTCCTAAGTAGTATACAGGCAATCTTTCAAATCTAACTTAAAAATGCTTCAGTACTACTCTGAATTAATTTCTGTTGTGGATTATAAGAGGCTCTCCTACCTTTATTAAGCAGCTTTATTAGGAGCTTTCTTAGGATGCTACAGATGCTGTTGGGCTACTAGTTATTAGCCTGCACTAAGTACCACTTTTTAAAATACCTGAAGTAGTTAAATGCTCAATGCTTCAGATGGTGCTCCATCAGACTAGCAAAAGCACTTCAGAGGAAATAAAAATTCTGAGATTTAGGAAGAGTTTTGAGCACTTACGTTCAAAAAACACTAAAGGAGGCAAGCAAAGATGGTGCTAGTTGTAATCAGTGCTGGAAGCCCACTCAGGGGACAGTCAAACATTGTACGTGTTCATACACTGTCCACTGGAATCAGTGCAGCTGCAGCAGTGAACAGACTATACAGGCCCACTCCTACCCACCTTCAGGAGGCTGTACAATGTTGACATTAAACAAGTCTTGTCTTATGTTTGTCACAGATCACTTGGTGCACAGGACAGCATCCTTGGTGTACATCGTCCTCCTCCTGTAGCTGCAGCAGTAAACAGAATACACAGGCCCAGTTCTACCCATCTTTAGGAGGCTGTAAAACATTGACATTAAACAAGACTTGTCTTATGTTTGTCACAGATCACTTCAGCTGCAGCAGTGAACAGACTATACAGGCCCACTCCTACCCACCTTCAGGAGGCTGTACAATGTTGACATTAAACAAGTCTTGTCTTATGTTTGTCACAGATCACTTGGTGCACAGGACAGCATCCTTGGTGTACATCGTCCTCCTCCTGAAGAGCTCCATGTACTATCTCATCGTGCTCTTCTTCATCTACAGAGCGTGGGCTCCAGCCAAGCGCCATGGAAAGAAAGCATGAATGCTGGCTTCCAAAATCATCTTCAGTTTGCTTTGCTAGACATTGATCCATAAAGACTCCCTCACTCTCAGTGTTAGATATAGTAACAAAAAAAAACTCAAAATTAATTTGCTGGCATTAGTGCATAGGGCTTGTTTTGCTTCGCTGCTAATGTTCTTATATCAGTCTGGGCTTCCTAATTTTTCTGAATGCTGAACTGAGGTGGGCAATAAGAGTAAGATTACATAGCTTGGATTTTAACCCAAAATCCACACTGCAAAATGAGGAAAATACTTAACATTAGAAGTAGTTACACATGCATAAGTTTAGAGGCGTAACGGGGCTTTTGACATATAAAACATAGATGTGTTTTCTCATTGTGCTTAAGGCTTCATTAGGAGCATTTGTATGCTGTAAACTCACAGGTATTTGTCCATTTTTACTTTCAATAACTTTTTGCAACTCTCATATACCCACCAAATCAGGACTCAAGTATTCTGAAGTGGCATGTGCTTTTAGAATCAATTAAACACAATTTTAAAAGGTGCTAAAACCTTTTAAAACTATGTTTAAAATGTAGTATTTTTGAAAGAAGAAGCTAGATGAGCACAAAAGCAACTCTAAGGTGCACATGTACAGAAATGGAGGGAATCCACCTGGCCCCACACCAGCAAAGTGACACAGGCTAAAAACCTGCACTGTGTATTTTTAAAGAAAGAAAACAGTTGTAATAACCATTAACATAATTTTGCCCAGAGATACTTTTTTTAAGTTGAGCAAAATCTTGAATCTGAAGCTTTAGTAGAGAAAGAGTTTTCACAATAGAGGAAAAATTCTCAGATGTTTGACTTTGTCTCCAAGTTCCATAAATCAGTTCCTTTCAAATTTCCATGGAAAAATAAGTAGACATATTGGGGCAAAGTGTTTGCTCAGTTTGGGGCAAAACACTGTCATAAGTTTGGAGAGAAGTGCCAGCAGCATTTATACTCACTGTATCTGTCATGACATAGAGGACAATAAAAGCTTTCCTCCAAGGGTATTTGTGAGTCCTGTGCTTGTTCTCCACAGCATGCACCAAGACGTCCAGAAAAACGAATTCATTTCTCTATTTGGGTAAAACCCTCAGGAAATCAAAGATCCTTAAACCCATAGTTTTCTCCTTTTCAGGGTATAGAACAGGAACGCTTTTAGACAGAAAATAAAAGCTAGTCTGTTACATCTTTTCTGTTGAAGAGCTAAGCCAAAACAGCTCACAAGCTATTTTACAATATTGAAGCCAATGCAACTCATTGCCGCCTTCAATGTCAGGTCACTCTTCCATGTGAAGAAAGATTTGACGTCTCATCTTTAGACAAACATCTCTGAGAAACAGCAGCATGCAACAAGACGTCTAGAAAAACTAATTCATTTCTCTGTTTGTGTAAAATCCTCAGGAAATCAAAGATCCTTAAGCCCATCAGTTTTCTCCTTTTCAGTGTATAGAACAGGAATGCTTTTAGACAGAAAATAAAAGCTAGTCTGTTACATCTTTTCTGTTGAAGAGCTAAGCCAAAACAGCTCACAAGCTATTTTACAATATTGAAGCCAATGCAACTCATTGCTGCCTTCAATGTCAGGTCACTCTTCCATGTGAAGAAAGATTTGACGTCTCATCTTTAGACAAACATCTCTGAGAAACAGCTGATGGCCCACACTATTATTTGTTAAGGCTCAGCCCCAATCCAAGTGAAATAAAATAGCTACAAAGGTGGTTTTTGGAATGTAGTTACTGTAGATTTCTGGAGTATCATTGATATTACTGTCCTAGTTTTTCTCCCTGATAGAGAAATGCTTGATTGCATTAATGAACCAAGTTCTCTTTCATTAAAATGATCCCCAAATCCACTTGTGTCTTATATGCAGTGCAGGAAAATTGAGAGAAAATTGAGAGTTTTAAGCTTTTTGCACAAATAAACCTCCACCAAAACCAAACTTGCCTACATACAACCCTAAACCATGGTGAGCATAGCTATCACCTCACATCTTCTGGAGTTTCTCAAGATTTTATATCTGCAACAGCTCACATGTCCTTTTATTGATACAGACATATTACTGTTGATGCTGAGCTTTTAATTTTTATTTATTCAGCCAAAATAAGAGGACAAGTGGATTTCTAAGGCTTCTGGGGGCTGGCGTGTTTGCTTGCAGGAAGTTTTGGTTGATTAGTGGAAAAACCCTGTGCCTTGCACCAGTCAGAACCGGTGCAGAGGAGGTGGGCTGCGATGGGAACGGGCGATAGGCTGAGGACAGTTACACCACAGCCGTCCTGCTTTCACCACAGTACAATTCTAAACCATTTCCTGCTAATGGAAATACAAACTCATAAAAACCACACGGCTAAGTTAGATGTAAATAACCCAGTGAAACTCACCCCAGTTGGGCTAACTGCATGCTTGTGATACGTACACGTAGGGGCTACGGCCATCACGGAAACGTGGGTGCTGCAGGACAGCTGCAGGACTTGCAGTCTTATTTATCATGAGTTTATTATTTACCAGAGCCAGATGTTGCCTATTAAGAGTAAACATCGGTTGTCAGGACTTTCTTAACTCATGAAATACATGTCTTCTCAAGAACATGTCCTATCACAGCTGATTTTCAGTGATTTCAAGCTTCTACAAGTATAACCATCACAGCTGCTCTACTCCTGTCACAGAGTTACAGAATTAATGCAAATACCACAAAAATGGTTACAGGCAATCTAACAAAATACAGAACAGCGTCCACGTTTGCCATGAAAGCCCAAAGGAGTAATTAGCACAAATTAATTAGTTTGTAGAAAGGGATTTGCAATGAATTCTTTATCTTGCTAGAATAACTGTGTCCTTTACAGTACAACTTACATGGTTGAGAGTATTGACTCCTCAGCTTTCAAAATAACCTAGAAGAGATGACAAGGAAAACCACCTCTGGATTCCCTTCATGTGTAGTTGTAAATGAGAAAGATCTACATAAGGATTAGAGCAGTCTACAAACAGCAAGGTTCTGTTGATACTAGGTAAATTAATAAATTAATAAAGCTTAAGGGAGTTTCAGATAGTGGACTGTCCAGTTTGAAATGTTGAATTTGCAGGGGCAACAGCACACACTTAAGAAAGTGCTGAGGAGATAAAAAAATCTCAGAGGAATAGTGTGAGAATTCCTTCTCCTGCATCTATAGATGTTTACAGGGAAATCTAACTAAAGACAATTAACAACAAGCAATTGGCAAGTTTTACCTAGTGAGCCAAATCGTTCAATATAATTCTACCACAGATTAGTTTTACTTCATTTTATTACCAGCATCTTGGTAAGGTACAAAAGACAATATTTCCCACTGATTACCTGGATCTTGGAAGATTAACCTCAGGAACTACTGAGTACATCTTGGACAAATGTTTTAATGTCACCTGGGAGGCAACTTAATACATATATGTCAAGAAGATACAACTTTGTGAGATATTAGAGCACACAGGAACCATTCCCTTTGTTTTTAAATGAACAAATTCTCCTGTCAGCAGCTCCACCCGCACATCAGCCACAGACTTTCAAAACCCAACAACTTCCCCCAGATGTTTTCTTTCACGGAAGTCGACATGAACGAAGATGGGAGTCAAGTCAATAGATACTGAAAATGGGGACCCATGAAAGAAAAGGCCACCCACTGTTCCCAGTGAGCACCAGGAGGTTTCAGATCAGAACCTTCAGCTTCTCAAGATTTCATTCCTCTTCCAGCTGGAGCTTTGCTGTTTGTGGCAAAGTGAATGCGTGGGGCAAGATAATCCTGAAAATAAATAAAGTATATCCCAAAACGAGGAAATCATCTCTCATTTTCAACCAACATCATTTTCAGGCTCAAACTGTAAAATAACAGTAGGAATAGTAGAAACTGTTTCCAGGCTGATTTTGTACACGCTACTCAGCAAACAAGACTTCATACCTAATCCCTTCACCTTTCATATGAAGTCTCTAACCACTTTCACATCATTTGCATCAGCTCATTCAACTCATGCACCAGGGCAGGGAGGAAGAGAAGGATGGGACATTTGAAACATCTTCTAGCACAGTCACAAACACAGGAGAAGGAGAACACTTCCAGATGTTAAACAAAAAGCTGTTAAAATATTAACAACTTATGTGTGCAATTTCAATCTGCTTTTTTTGGTGAAAGCACCTTGTTTACACCAACATTAATTCACCAGCAACCCCGAGAAGATCATTGCTGTGTTTAACTAAAATATATATTTTACCTTTGAACCCCAAGGATCATGGCACTGCATAAGGTTTCAAGAATCTCCACTGAGGGAAGACTGTGTCCAGAGCCCCAGCAGCTGGGTGTCTCATTTATCACCTGTATTCCTCTAAACCAAGTGCTCCCCTTCCTAAGTATCTCCTGTGGCAAAACCAGACCTTGATTTGCAGTGCACTGGTACAGCACAGCTTTAGATTCTTTGTTGTCCTGATGCTTCATCACCTCTAGACGGAGCTGTAAGTCACTTCTTAAGATCCTGCAAGGTTTCTTACTTTTTATCAAGTTCTAACTCCTTAACTTCTCTCTTGAATACACTCCAGGTCCTAGGAGGTACAGAGGATACCTGCTCACCTTTGTATAACCCCGTAAAATAAATGCAGGGAAACTCCTTAATGCAGGGAAAGATGCACAAAACTTAGGGCACAAGGCTTACAAAGGCTGTGAAAGGTTAGGAACACTGCTACCCTGGGACTGGTTATCTTGGTATCTGCTGCCCTCTACTTCTTGAGCAAAGAATCCTCTTCCTTCAGAAAGCTTTGGGACAGGCAGATGGCTGAGCCCTGACCCACTCCTTTAAACAAGCCCAGGGGCAGAGTACCAGCCAGCCAGCACTTCCACTCTGAAGATGCTTTCTGAAACAGATCTGGCAAGAACAAAAATCCCTTCTTCAGCAAAGGGTCTCCCAAGCTCAGCTGACTGTAAGGGAAGTCTGGGTCAGAAAGCAAGGGGCTGCCAGGTTTCAGAAGCCAGGTAACCAGCATCTTCAACACTGCAGCAAGAGAGGCAGCACAGATTCTTGGCAGATTAGCTCTCCACAGGACACAGGGGCAATGTCTCCTTTTCATGCCACCCAACAGCATTAAGAGTGAGAAGAAACCTTGAAGAACCATCAAGGTGAATGAACATCACTAAGGCATGCAACAGTGATATCAAAAAAAACACCACTCAGAAACTGTTAAGGCAACAGTTAAGCAGTGAAAAATCATAGAATCATTTTGGTTGGAAGAGACCTTCAAGACCTGATCCACCTCTGCTGTACAGTATTTACTGCTGGAAGGGTGGCCAGGCCTGCACAAGCCCTGGGTACCCAGGTTAGGTGCTCAGGATTTAAGCAGACAGCCCTGGGGAACACCCTATCCTATGCATTCCAGAAGGAAATTTGGCTGTCTGAGTGAGGACTGGCAGAGGCAGTGCTCAGAGAAAGGGGCTGTCCTCAGGGAGTGCTCCCAGCCACCCCCTTCCCTCGCCCTGGGGCTGCCACAGGGCTCCTGCCCAGCACAGCTCTCCAGCCTGGAGCAGTCTCTCTGAAGAACGGGCTTTGTTCTGTCCTATTCCTCACACTCTTCAACACAGATGGCTGGTTGTGATTCTTTTTTGATGAGGCCAAGGGTTATAGCCCAGCCCACCTTTCTTATCTCTTGGGAGAGATGAGGAGATGGCAAATCAACACTCAAGGTACATTGGGTACTGGTGTCCAGGTTTTGGTAGTGGGGGGCTGTAAGAAGAGGTTGGGGCATTCTCCATTGCTCATCACCCTTGACCTTTGATCTCTTAGCTTCTCCAAGATCTGCTGTTTGTGAATACAGCTGTAGACTACATTTCCTTTTCCTCCTTTTGTAGAGGAAGCTATTAAGTATCTGCAGTCCCTCCTAAACTTCACTGGATATAGGAACAATTCCATCAAAATGATCAACCTTTAGGTTCACATGCTGACCTTTTCCTCCACTGATTCCACCAGGTATTGTGGTCCCTGGTGAGGATCATTACATTCCACCCCTTGAGGCACAACAGAGCAGGCAAGGTCTGTTCAAGATCACTAGCTCCTCAAATAAAGCATCTTCTGCAAGGTTCCCCATACACACTCCCAGGCCACCAGTGACCTCCTGGCATAGCAAAACCCCAGTGACTATACCATGAAGAAGCCCTTCATGAGGTGTATGTACACAGGGCAGCCAAGTGAAGGTTGCTCAGGCCATACTCACTCCAGCAGCACCTAATGCTCATGTGCTACAAGTGACAGACTGCTGACACACATTGAAACAAAGAGACTCATCCACAACTCTCCTGACCTAAAGACCATGGACTATTCTCAACAACAAAATCCCAAAACTAGGAGATGATTTTAACAGTTAAAGCCTAAGGTTGGGGACCAACCTAAATGATTCTATGATTCTATGATAAGCACTAGAAAGATCTGCTCAGGAGCACAAACGTTTTCAGAGTCATGTGAACAGCTCATGGTGCAAGAAATGCATTCATCCCTCAATGCTCTCCTGGATGGACCAAGCAGCTCTCACTGATATCGATTTCAAGCATCTGGGTTAGAAAGGATTTTTCCCAGATCCCCTAGGAGGACTGCAGGGAAATTCAGTGCTTCATGTGAACCTTCCTGCTTTCCCCTGGGAGGCCAGCAAGCTCACTTAGCAGGACATTCCCAATACCTCACACCCAGGACAGCCAGGAACATTGCCTCCCTACTAGCCAATGAAACCATGGGCCTATGGAAGCCACCATGAAACAACACCCTCATGTGGATTTTCCCTCTGCACCTCCAGGCAGAGCAGCCCTTGCAGGTCCAGGAATTCCCTCTCTTCCCAAGCTTGACAAAAGCACTAGAGAAAACAGAAACACACAGCCACATATAAACAGAGAAAATGTGAAAGGCTTCCTTTGCCAGCAGGTGAGGGACTGAAGTAGACAGTGACAGGAGAAACTGATGGCTACCTAGACTCTTTTGTACTACTACCAGCACAGAACAGCCAACTGACCCAGCCAGTGGGGCCTGCCTTGCTTTGAGAAACACTCCTGCAGGGCAGCAATTGGCTACAGAAAAGCATCTGATGCAAGTCAAAGAGAATGACTCAGATCAAATGTTGGGCTCCTGCTGGCCTCAAGAGAAGTCCAACAGAGGAGCAGTGCCACTGCAAGTGCTTCAGAATTGCCACTGCAAGTGCTGCTCATTTTCCACTTGCCATGGGCCAGCTTGAATCAAGTGGAAGTTCTTAATAGCATTCACTGCCTGGAGAGAGCAGGCTACAGACAAAAGCCACATGGCTCCAGAAAGCCCCTTTGCTCCACAGCAGGACTGTCAAAAAGTAGCAGAACAGAATAAGAAAACAGAAAAAAAAAATTCAACCTCACTGTTTCAAAACCAAAAAGATACTTTTCAAGAATACAGAGATAAGAACTTACTCTTTTGCAACGATTTTGCTCTGACCTGTTGATGTTTGAGTTAAAAGAAGACACAAAACATCTGGTTTTGGTCAGTAAAGTGTCCATTTAATAAAGTCTTTAGCCACATTTCCCACCCCTTCTCCCCACCCTAAAATTTCAATTCACACTTAAGCAGCAGATGACATATAATCTGATGGTGTACAACAGAAGTTTTTTAAATCTGCACTCTTAATACTAAGAGTATCAGGGGCTAGCATTTGACAAAATTACCTAGAACTCAGATGTGCCCATGCAAAAAAAAAAAAAAAGGCAGATTTTTATATACATTCCCTATTTTTTTCTTATAAATTTAAATATTTTACAAAAAGGTATTTTCAAAATGTATAAAGTTTAGTGACTACGCCAAACGTATCTTAAAATAAAACGGTATCTGATTCCAAAGGTTATTTCAACAATGAAGTCTAAATTGCACCAGGTAAAAGGCACTTGTGCTGTGTGATGTCTTGAGCAAATATATAGGTTAGTTTATAATACAGTAATACAGTGTCTTCTCCAATTCATGCAGTTGCCTCCGAGCATCAAGCATCATTAAAGCAGCCAAAAGAGATCGTGAGTAAACTTGATTCCACAGTTGTAAAAACATTTTCTAGCACTAAGGCAACCATACAGGGTTGTGCTCCAGCTCTGACTCCAGAATCAAACGCTACAGAAAGATTCCTGGCATCCACAGGGGGAGTCAGACTACGTCTGCATTCTCTCCTAAGTCCCAAAAACCAGAAGTATGCCATCTCATTATGAACCTAAACCACCAAGGAACAGCTCCGTGTTCAAGTAGTTTGTGCCAATGGAAGTCTGTATTTAAAAACAAGCTAGGGGCTAGTTATTCAAGGAGCAGTGCATTGTATCTGCAGGTTCCACTTCACTGTTGAGATAAAAGCGCAGTCCTGTTTGCCTTCATCTTCTCCAGCCTCTTCATTAAGTGGCTATTGGTCATCTCCATCTCTTCTATCTTGTCCAGTGCTGTTCTTAGCTATAAAATGAAAGCAGAAATTATGATCACTTTATGTTTATTTGGACTTTCTGCTGTTCTTAAGCTTTGAGAGAGGAAATTAAATCAGGAACACAAGCATCACATGACTTATAGGAGTGCCATATAAGACACAACATTTTCATTATGGCAGTCAGATGAACTTGAATTCTGCTGTTAAAAAAAATAATTGGGAAGCAACTGCAACATGAAATGTACTCATTCCAAAAGAACTAGGTGCCTGCAACTTCCTATTTCATGATATTTAAAGGTAGAGTCCTCTCCAGCACTGTTGCCTGCTACCCACAGGAGCATACATCCATCAGCAAGCAGCATGGCTAGTCCTGCAGCAGCTCTTCACCAGGCATGAGCAACAGCTCAGTTCAACACAGCTTCTGCCCTGCTCCTCAGGAGGGGTGTGCTGGAAACCTCCCAGGCTGGCACTCAACAGGGGGAGCATTTGGGTCCCCAGTAATTTTTATGGAAGGATTAGTTTAAAATAGTACAAGTTATCACATTTAGAAAAACACAGAACTTCAGATCCTTCCTTTCAAAGTACTGCATTGAATTGTAATTAGCATTATTTTTACATGCTACAGTTGCCTTCCAAATGCAACACTGGTAGACTCTGAGGTCTACTCAAAAAACTCAAGATGTAACTGAAAATTACAAAAAAACCAGAAATCCCAAAGCTTGGAGGCAAAGGAGAGCAGTGCAAGACTGAAAGGAGCATACAGCTGAAAAGGAGGTGACATCAATTACCTCTCGCTGAAGCTTCCTCTTTTCAGCTTTGAGTTCATCTTCTACTTTTTCTGCATTTTCTGCTGCATTTTTATACCTTGTAACCTGCCCCTCAAGTCGTCCAATCTGCAAAGCCAAACAAGACAAAAGGAACAATTGTTGAGGTGTTCCACCCTGCCACCAGCTGTTCTCCCCTTCCTGCAAAGCTGCTGTAACACAAAGCATCCTGTGAACCACCCAGGGTCTCTCCCTCTGGAAAGAGGGGGTTTAACTGTGTTCACAGCAGCCATAATTGCAAAGAGAGTGTTTAAAACAACTAATGAAACAGTAAACTAAATGGTGGGCAGAAACTTGGAATACCCTTCCCTGGTGAAGATCATAGGAAACAGAGAATGCAACACAGCACAGGACACAGCTGAGAAGATACAGAAGGCTGAAAAAACAAGAGGAGGAAGAAGAGCTGGAAAAAGAAAAATCAAGAACTGGAAAACACGTGGGATTAAAAACAAAAGCTGGAAAGCTGAAAAGCAGAGACTGTATGAAAAGGTGCAGAGGAGAAAGGAGACCACAACTTGATGCAACAGATCTTGAGCTCAAGTGCAGAGTTCAACAGCCAACAGGGACTCAAGACAAATCCTGGCTGCAATCTGGACCACTCCCTGGATTATATCTATAGCTCCATGCTACTCCCAAATTCATGTGACAGGCCAGCAGCCTGGTCCTGTGCAAGAGAGAACTGTGCATCTCCAGTTCTAATTATAATCCTTTATGTGATTTTTAGGGGATCTACAGAGATGCTGAACTGTAATAAAATGTTACTGACTTAAAATCACAAAGTGTGAGTAAATCAGTATGAGAAATATATATATCTAGCTATAAAAACAAACTTGTATTTCAGTGACTAAATCCCATTGCTTCCACAGTCTGTACAACTTTCTTACAAGGGATTAGGCTACATAAACTGGTTTTATTGAACTAGCAGCTTCAGTTCCTCTGTATATTCTGCCATACATTCAATTCTTAGCATATCAACTCCACATTATTTCTCTTAAATGTAATGTCATTCTATCCAAAATAAAGAACAAACTTTAGATGAAATATGAAAATGATGAAATGATAAAATAGGTTTTCAAAGTTTTTGTTAAAACAAGTACTGTGAGAGTGTGCAGAGTGAGTGTGAGGATAACAATAAATATGAAGAAAAACACACTTACATTTTGTTCCAAGGTAGTTATATCCTGTTCAGCTTTTGAAAGCTTAAATTTGTATTCACTAATTTGCCTGTTGGCATCTCCTAGGCAAAAATTGACATGAATATATTACTCAAAGCATCTCTCTAAACTGGCAGCTTCACTTTTAATTAAAATTCATTAAAAAGATCATTTGATTGAGAAGCCCATATACAGGATTATAAAGAGGTAAATGGTCTTTCAGAAATCTTGTTTGAGAGTATGAACAGGAAATAATCTTCCTGTTACTTAGAGAACACAACTACTGCCTCTGTAAGAGGGTGCATTAAATCTCAGATGTATAAAAGAGCTACACACCTTCTAAAACACACATTTAGATCAGCAAACTCACCTCTCAAAAATGAGAATCAAGACAATAACCAACACACATGGCAAAATGGGTCAAATCACAACAGACATAATACCAGCAGCATTTACTGTAGACATCTGTCATAACACCTGAATGATAAGGAGCACAAGGCTTGAACCTGCCTGGCAAACTCCAAGGAGCTCTGAAAATTATTTTGCTGTTATATTTTAGCCCTGACATCACTGGTGCTGTTTTTGTTCATTATCACAAGCATATTAAATGACAATAATTTAATACAGCAGAGTTTCCAGCTGAAGAAATAACTTGCTTGAAATGGAAAGTAAATTAGTGCTTCTATGAAGCAACACTGAATATTGTGTTAGCTGTAGTATTTTTAAATATTTGTAATAATTCACTAATTTAATTTTTCTTGTTTTGCTTCAGTGCATAAAAATATTTCAGATTAAGTTTCTGTATCAAAGATTCAGCAAAATAAAAACATCAGGTAGAATATATTAACAAAATATCTCTGAAATTCTATCATCTAAAAATTGAAACCATTCAAGTAGTGCATCCATGCTAGGCAAGGTAATCAACTGAAAAATAACTTCCCAAAATGTTATTGAATACTGAGAGAGGCCCGTTTTTAAGCCATTCTGCAGTGAGAAATTTCCTGCATGTAAATATACCAACAAAAACTGAGCAACTCAACAATATATCCACCCACAGTGCTACTACTGCACAACACGACAGGCAAAGGAGTTGGAAGAGTGTTTCCTCTCCCCAGTAAGAACACCTCTGAGCAGCAACCAGACACCTACTCTGCATTTCAATTAGCTGCAGGTCAGAACCATTCTCCAAGCCCATGATATCTGGGTTCATGCCATCACTTTTGGAATATTTCTGTCGTTCTTCTTCCAACTGCATCTTCAGTTTTCTAACCTGAAAAAGAAGCATTCTTTTGTGAAAAAGAGACTCCCAGAAGTTCAGGAGCTGTGGATCTAAAAAGGTAAAAAGGGAAAAAGGCAAAGCAGTGCTGGGATGGCACTGGCTGAGCTGGTCTGTGAGTAGGAGCAGCAGAGCTGTGCAGGGCAGGCAGGGAAGCCACTCCCTGAGACCTGTGGATGCTGCTCCCCATCCCCATTGGTGGACAAGGGCCCTCTGCATGTCCATGCACAGCCCAAACCCACCAGTTTGGTCTGCAGGGATCTCTGAGCAATGCAGAAACACCAAGCAGCTCTCAGAGAGCTCCTTTCCAGAGAAGGAGGCAGCAGCATTAGACTCTGTTTATGCATTTCTTCTACAGTATAGCTTTTAAACTCTGAACACTCTGCATGAGTGGTGAAGCACTGGACCAGGCTGCCCAGGGAGGTGGTGGAGTCACCATCCCTGGAGGGGTTAAAAAAAATGAGTGGATGTGGTACTTCAGGACATGATTTATTGGCCATGGTAGTGCTGAGTTGATGGGAAAAGACCTCTTAAGATCAAGTCCAGCCATCTTAATAATTCTACAATTTTATTCTGAGATAATGAACAATATCCTGAAGAGTTTACAGTAAGAATATTCCACAGCTCTTTTAGGGTCCTGTTTTAGTCCATCTGAGAGCAATAGTCCTAAGCAAGTCTGTAGTGCACATTAAACAGTTCCATTTTATGGTACAGCAGCTGTCCCAGGATTTTTCAGGAGTCAGGAAACCCAGATTCCTCAGCTATATCCTCAATGTCTGGAGTTTACGAAAAAAAGTGGGAGCTACATTTTGACTTTCTTATCAAAATATTGCCCCCCAGATTAGTGATATGGGCATTATACTTGCAAAGCTCCCACTCGTGATATAAAGCATATAATTTTAACAGTGATTTTTATAACTATATTGTGATAAATATGATAATACATCTTTATACACTTATTTATACATTAATATTTAATCACCCTGATTAAATACTAGACTTTATTGGCATTCTAAGTCAAGCATTTATACTGAAATGATGGTGCCTTTCCAGCAAAAAACAATGTTGACACCACTTTAAACTTGTGAGGCACTAGAAGCACAAAAATTATAGTATTCTTAACAATTGTTCAACAGCTGTATGTTGAGTCCTACCTTCTCAATACTGAACTGTATTAGAATACAACTACTTTATTAGTATTAATTTTCTATTTGAGCTTATGAGAATGTCATTTTACTGACTTTAGTTAATTTCCCCACGAGATAAAAGAAAACAATGAACAACTTTAAGTATATGTCCTAATAGTAGAGTCAGCAGCCAGTCAGATTTCAATTAAGCAGTAAAGGAAATGAGGCTTCTTCACCAATCAGGATGAAAATCTCCTGGATAGGACACTAGTGAGAGGAACTGATAATTCCTGGTAGCCAGCCAGGGAAGAAGTTGAGTATTTTATTTTGCTTTATTGATTAAGTATTTGGATAAGCACCTTTGCTGCTTAATATTAGTACTAATCTGCAATTACTAGTCTGCAAAAGGAGACACAAAGGTCTATTTCTGAAAAGGATAGCTTACTTTACCTGGGACAATAATTCCTCCTTTTCTCCAGCCAGTTTTCGTAGCCGCACATCTAAAACCAAAGAAATCAGTTAAATCTCAGAGAAATCTGCAACTAAGAACACACATTCTGTAACTTTTCTCTTCATTTTCAAATAGAATTCTCTTCAAACTTAAAGCAAATAGCATGGGGAGCACAACACTTTAGTATCTCACTAATAATGCCATAGTAACCTCCAGTTATTAGCAGAAAAAAGGGAAAATATTTCATTCACTCTGTTTCTTAGTACAATTTTAAAAGCAAAACCTCCGAGTTTAGCAATTCTTTGAAGTAAATTAAAAACTGAGGATTTTTTTAACTATAAACCAGAGTTTTGTCCCAATATTTGGAAAAGACATTTCCAACAAAATTTTCTTCTGACTGCAGACTCTCTTCCCTGTCCTATTCCTGACGATTGCCATCTCTTCAGGGAAAGCTAAGCTCTTCCATATGTTTAGAAAGTAAAAAAGTGTTCTCAAACCACAAAAAAAAGTACTTGGGAAAGGACCCACATTCATGTTGCAGTATCTCTGATCAGTCAGAAGAGGACTAATGGCTCAAAAACAGACTGTCAAGCAACACCATGCTAGGATTAGAGCAGCTCCCTTGGAAATTTTGACAGCAACAAAACATGAGGGTATCTATATTTCACTAAGATGGAGCCACAGCAGAAGCATGTATGGAGTCTAATCTCTGTCAAAACAAAAATATGTAACTATTATATATTATGTAGAGATAAAATGCAAGTCTACACATTTCTCTGTGTGTTAACTTTAACACAGTTTTACAGGGGATTGACTATGCACACAAATTGTCCAACTTAAGGATAAAACCAAATTAAAATCAAGGCCCCCAAAGCCTGTATCTTTCTGTTCTTTGTGTCATTTTTTGAATATTTTTTACACCAATAAAGGGAGAAGTACTTCAAGGAAGGGGAAAATACACAATATACTGCTTTCTACAATGGAAGCTCTTCCATTAATTTTACATACTTGCAAGGGTTTTTTTTACCATGAAACACAACAGAAAACAGCAATCCAAAAGGCTACACTTTTAGGCAAGATATTTTCTGACACTAATAACACAGACACTGGACCAAGAGATCTAATCCATTACAAACATCCAAGCATGTACTATTTCTTTTTTTTTTTAAATTCAAAAGATACATCTATCTTTTTACTCAGTATAAAAATAATAATGACTAATAAAAAAGCTGACAGTCTTGAAAGCTGTGTAAGCACTTACTCCAGCAGCATTGCAAGTATCTTTTTGTGGCTGTAAATCACAACCCACTGTGGACAGGAAGGGAACAAAGACTTCAAACACTCTCTGAAGTATGTTAGGATATCTTTACCTAGTGGTCCTTCTCCTGCAGATTCCAAGACTTGAGCAGCTTCCTGTGACACAACTGTTATTGCACCGACCCCCAGTTCATGGTTTATGTCACCATTGGGTGTGCCATCTGGAATGATAACTAACCCGTGTTTCTGAAAATACAAAAGGAAAAAAAAACACTCAGACAAGAGCAGTGCTACAACATAATGGGACAGAAAAGTTTTTAAAATGCTTTTCAAGTTGGTTGAAGCACTTACAATGAAATGTGCCACTTATCCTACCCTGAAGTCAGGTTTTGAGACTGCACAACAACAGTAGCCATTCCTCCAGTCTTTCATCGACCTTGGTCTCATGCCCCACTCCTGGATTTCTGTTACTGTAAAGTAACTACTACCAACATACCTCTCCTCTCTTCATTGTTTCCTTCAGGTCAGCCAACTCCTCTCTGAGCTCATCTCGCTCATTCTTAATGCAGTCAAAGTAATCTTTCTGTCTTTCTAGGGCCTGGGTTCAGGCAGATAGCAAGAAAAAGAATGGCACAGAGAAAAAGGGTATGACAGACAGCAGAGAGATTTTGTTACAAGTAAATACAAAGAGCTCAATAAAAGTAAAGAAATTAAAAGGGGTATTTAACATATACATATAAGCACACACCTCTGGTAACTACCTTTCACAGTCACATATCTAGCTTCATTGCTACATGTTTGTTATGACAATTTTTTTCCAAGATAAGTCTTGGTAGATTCTGTAAAAGATTTTCACAGGGGATGGAAAGGACGTCTGGAGATCACCCAGAGCAGGGTGCCCAGCATCATGTCCAGGTGGGTTTGGAATCTCTGCAGGGAAGGAGACTCCACAACCTCTCTGGGCAGCCTGGGCCAGGGCTCTGGGACCCTCACAGGAAAGTTCTTCCTTATGTTTTTGTGTTTCTTTTTTGTTTGTTTGTTTGTTTTTCTCCTTATTTTTATTTAGTGGGTTCTATTTTGGTATATTTTTGTCAGATAAATTGAATATTGAAAGCATGGGTGACTATTCTGTGGACAGAAGTAAAATTTGCTGGAACTCAGCTGGCAAAGATTCTAAAACATATCCATTGAACTGATTTCTCTACCTTTTATAGGGTATAGAAGTAGAAATATTACCTCATAAAAGACCTTAGATATATAAGCCTAAGTGTCATCCACTTACAAATACTAGCTTGTTTACTACTTTGCTTACATATTACAACCACACTTTACTAAAACCAAAGCAATCAGTTTTAGAGGGGGGAAAAAATCCACAGCAAACACCAGCAGCACTATTTTAGCACAAATATAGGGTACAGAAGTAGAAATCTTACCTCATAAAAGACCTTAAACCTAAGTGTCATCCACTTACAAATACTAGCTTATTTACTACTTTGCTTACATATTACAACCACACTTTACTAAAACCAAAGCAAACAGTTTTAGAGGGGGGAAAAAACCCAGAGCAAACACCAGCAGCACTATTTTAGCACAAACAAGGATGGCAGCTAGAAGCACAATATGGACACAGATGGGTCTGCCTGCCTATGCTGTGTTACCTGGCAGCTAGTCAGACACTCTCACCTCACTGGGCAGCATCCCAGTGTTCCATTCAAATCCAGAGCTGCATGCATTACTAATAATCCTGACCACACAGCAACTGCAAAAATTTTCATATTTTGCCAAGAAAATTATCCAGCTAACCCCTATGTCATGCATGAGTGTTTAGGAATGGGCTGATACCAAGAAAGAAATGAAGGTGTGTGATTTTGTAGTGCAATTGCCCCACATAGCAATTGCAGTAAGCCAAATTTTAATAACTGTCTAGAGTCTGTACATCAGAGCAATGTTTTAATGCATTCCTCTTAATTTCAATGGGAAAATTTAAGAAGTGTTCTTGTACTTTGCTTATTAATATGTAAATGTAACATTTAAAATACAGGTCATTCAACATGTGTGAAAGCATTAGCTGTCATGTCACAGTTTAAGAATTCATTAGATGTCCTTTTATTTCCTAACACATACTAATCTCAAACTATATCATAATAGCATGAAGAACCTCAATCACCACATCATTTTGTGTTCCACTTGAAGATACATACACCTTTGCCATCTTTGAGGACTAGCAGCAGAGGTGGAAGGGGAAGTAAGCTCCCACACTTGAGAGGATGGAGACAGAGGCCCAGAATCACACTGCAGACAGCTCCTGTGTGCTTGGCAGTGCCCTGGGATGCTGCTGACCTCCTCAAATCATCTTTTCTATCCTCACCCCCTGGGCACAAGTGTTGGAAAACAGAAAATTTTGATGAGGAAGGAAGTGAAATTTATATAACCATATTATCTCTACCTATGGAGAGATCAGTAAATAATCACTACTCAGTGCTGAAAAACTTTAGTAAAACTGCTACTGTTGGTATGCTCAGGGAGTATGATGTATAACATGGATTTTTTACTAAATCTACTTCTGCAATTCTTCTGTTGGGGTGGGGGCAGGCAGAAGTCAGGACAACTAAGCTCTGCAGGCATGTCTGAACATACCAGTATGATTAAAATCTGATCATCTGGCAAAAAACATGTTTGTCTGGGGTTTTATTTTTTTAAAATATTCCCAAAACCTTCACAAAATCTATACCAACTTAGACATGCCGTTGCTGATTTCAAAGTGGCAATGCATGAACAATTTGGAGCCACCAAACAGTAAAACAGATGTGTATTGCAGGAATATAACCTGGAAGTTATAGTTCAGAGTCCTCAAACTGATCTAAGACTAAATACAACTGCAAATTTCAATCAATTTGTAGAATCAGGACAATGTAAGAAGGTAAGTGTAAACCAAGCTCGTGCTATCTCTGGTTTCCATCCCTTCCTCTGAGGCAGCAGCGGTCTTGCATACATTGTAAAACCAATTCTAGTTATGAACTACTCCTTTGTGAAGCTTCTGAGAGACTTCTGAGGCTGGAATAGAGTAAAAATTAGCAAAGCTACTCAGATTTGTGGAGAAAGACTCAAAAATTGTGAGGTAAGAAAACTGTGTAAACGTTTTTAGATAGCAGTGAGAAGACAGCAACATTTTTACTTTTTAAGAACTAAGATATTTTAATTCTGAGATGGTAAAAAAATAAAAACTAGGAAAAAAATCCAGTTATGGTCTTTACAAGAACAGAGAAACTGGCAGGAAAATTTTTACTAAAGGAAAAAATATCTTTCTTGTCAATCTGGCTAGTAGCTATTTTTCTTCTGTGAACATTAGATAAATTATATGCTCTGTACTGACACTGTCAATGTGCTTTGAAAGAAAAAAGTGCTTGCACAAAAAAAAAGCACAAGTTGAGGCAGTTCAATACACAAAAGTGAAGAGTAAGTATGGAAAGAATATGCTTTGCTAAAGAAGAAAAAACTTTCAGAAGCATGTTCAGAAAAAAACTTTAAAAGTTTGAAATATTTTATGATGGCAAAGAAGATTGCAATATGGACTGAAGGACTGTAACATGAAATAAATATGGATTGAAAAAAAAACAAACCAGTATAACCAGCTTTTTTTAACTGGGCACTACTGGTTAAGATAACTTTCTGTAGTGAACTGCAGCCCACACAGCAATTTTCAAAGGTATCTATGTGTGTCACAATCTGTTGTAAAATTCAGTTAGAGAGAAATGACCCTGGAGTTACTAAAAGGCAGCTGAAAGACTTTCCAGTTAACTCCCTCTCAGCACCAGGACATCTACTGGTGGCCCAGACAGCCACAAGTTCAGAGCCATGTAGTCCTCACCAAGGGCCAGGCTGACTCAGACCACTTCTGTGCTGCACAGTGAGCATCACCACAGTACTAGCTTCCTTCCCTGTACAGGAACCCTGCAGATGCTCTTCAAGAGGCCCCACACAACCACTGATTTAAGATTGCAACTTTCAACCCCAACAGCTGGCAAGTCTGCTCCTCTGTGTGTGGTATCAGATCAGCCTGGTTCAGCGTTGCTTCCAAGCTAAACAGCCCCAGAAGGACCAGAAGTGCAATTCAGGAATGCATGAGTCAATTCAAGATCCTATTTTTTAGCACTAGTTATGCCAAATGCAAACATGATTTACAAATATTCTACATTTTGTCCTTTATCTCCTGCAGGTCTCTAGGTTTTCCATTATTTGGGGTATTTTGTCCCTGTTATCCCAGGTAGTGTAAAGCAAACTGTTTTAAAATCTACTAATTCCTATGCAAACTGTTAAAATGATGACAGAGGCAGGAGTCAAACAGTGAGCAAGGTTTGAACTGTTCAAGTTCTGAAAACTGTATTTACCTCTAAGGAGATTAAAAGCTCTAAAAAGAATTTCAAATCTGTATAAAATTATATTATTGCTGTGTCACTGTGGATCAATACACAGACCTGGGCCATTTTTATCTTTGGATAAGAATAAGGAAACAATGAGTTTTCCAAGCCCTGAATACAGGTAACAAATATTTGGAAAAAAAAAAATTGAAAACTCTATGCTTAACAGTTAATTGTGTTATAGATTTAACTAGTATTCATCACTATGCAAGTAAAGATGAAGTGAAGCTCATTTTCTGAAGAGGATAAAGACTGCAAAACATTCTAAAGCATTTAATTTGGGAGTGGCCTTCATTTCTTTGGAGTACACAGCATTCCTTGGGGGGCAGGGGGCATCCATCTACTTCTAAAATGAAAAAATACCTTTCCCCCCATATTTGATTCATACCCCTATTTTTTTATCTTTCCAATTAATTGTCTCCTGGAGATCAAACACCTCTTTGGTTATGGAGTCTATATTCTGCTGCATTCGTTGGTTCTCCTGTAGTACATAGGATGAGGGAAGAATAAAAGAGGAAAGAGAAGTAAGGAAATGGAAAAAAAATAAAACACATTCAAACAGAAAAAGGAAATTAAGAAATAAAAGTCAACCAAAGAGTGTATGAGCATGAAGTTAGAGAAAAAGGGTGCAACTTATCATAATATATTCTTTATGAAGTCATGCAACTGATTTTATTCAATCAATGCTGATGCAAGAATTTAGTGCACCTATACAGCTACTTCTCTTTAGTAGCAGTTGCCACCACAGCCTGGGGATAACATCCTTTCTGCAGAAAACAATTGTAATTTCCAGATACCTTCTATTCCTATTTGGGAGTGATCACTAATGTTAACAAGAGGTTTTATATAGAAAATCTTTTTGAAAGTATAAGGAAGTTTGTACCAAGCATCTAGGAAGTAAAATCTGACTGCTGTTATACTATATCAATATGTAACAATTGTGGCCCTATTTTTTTCATCTAACACTGCATTTTGCTCCTTGCCCTTCACACAAAACTAAAATTCCTTGCTAAGCTCATATAAATATGAAGATAATAAAAATTTTTTAGGGCTAGAGACCATTTTTTGCCCTCCTATTAGTGAACTTGATTTTTACATCTGGGAATGCCAAAATCTAGACAGTGTCTTCCTGCAAAAAGCTAAATGGCTTCTGCTAGATTTTCTGTTAATAGATGGAAAAATGACTCAAATCAAAGATTTAACCCAAATTCATCATTTAAGGAACTGTGTGAATTTGGTGAACATTCAACACACATGCTACATTCTACCAAAGCAAACTCTCCACACAAATATATATCTTTTATCTGCATACTTCAAGAAAAGCCCAAAAAAAAACCCAAACAAGATCCCAAGATGAAGGTATAAAGTTACTGTTTTTGTTGTTTTGTTTCTTAATTTTATTTTTAATTTGCAGTGAAGTCAAAGAGAATTCAGAGCAAGCAACAGAGCAACAACCAGAACTTGCTAAGTGTTTTTGCTTCTCAATTAATCTGCCACAAAATTATGCTACTTAGTAGCAGAAGAAGAGCAACAAGATTAGACTAAATCATACCAACTCCCATTCATGAAGCATATTATTTTCTCAGTTACCATAACAGATCTGGAACTTTTCAGAAGCCTTTTGGAGTTACTGTACTACTACCTGGAGGGCACAAGAACTTAGTGGGGAAAGAAACTCATCAATAAAATGCAGCACTATAAAACTTCTGAAAATCAGGCAGTGGAAACTTTGGCCCATGTACTTAAAGACTAATTTTTACTAAAAACAGAAGGTGATGGGAAAGTGCTAGATTAATTGAACTACAATCAGTGGGAAATGGACACTCACATGCTGTTGAAAAGACATATCTTTGTGGACCACTTTAAAATGAAGGCTGTTGATAGCTCTGGTATTTTAGGGCATGTTGATTTGTTTCCAGAAGGAAAGGGCAAGATGGGAAAAGAGCACACCATGCACACAGCAACATGGCTGTGGCCCAGTAACATGCTGACCAGTGTTGCTATATTTATGTTTGGCTGGTAAGCAAACAAACATTTGCTGCTGCCAACTTCAGTGGTTGCTGCTCACAAAAATCTGAAATAACTGAAATGGAAACTTTTGGGAAAGGCAAACAATAACATTTGATATTAACCATGCAACAGAACTTCTGGCTATGCAAAAAGATTTTGGCCATGCAAACATTAGTTCTGGTCTCACAAGGAAGAAGAGACAAAGAACATTCATGAGAGCATCACGATTCTCACAGGAATTGAGGAATTTACAAGACTGGAACTAAGGATTTTACACATTTGAAAACCTTGCACAGACATTTTCAACTTTATAAATTTAGAGAGATTGATAGCTTAAGTGCTATTCACTAAAACAAGATAAATTCCTTCATAAAAATGAGATAATACCTAAGCTCATTTTGTGCATGATGGCTGTTCCCAGTCAAGTCTGACACCATATTTATTTCCACAAGTTCTGTCAGACACTACCTCACATGAACATACCTCTATCAATTCATCTCGCTGTCGAAGACCCTCTTTAAGCTCATCCAGCTTATGCTGCAGAACACTGCACGTGTGCTTCTGTCTCTCCAATTCCTGTATTAAATAAATCAATGCTTTATTTTTATTTTGGCTTTGACAATTATTTTGCATATAAAGCTTAAAAAAGTTAACAAAAGTACTTAACACAATATTATTTAAGAAATTACTGCAATAACTTGAGAAATTCTACCACATGGCTAGAAATCACAGAACTGGTGCTTCAGCTAAGTTCTCCACATACTTACCATATGGAAAATGTTATTTAATAAAATATAGAATAGATATAAAAGATGCCATAAAGGCTTAAGCACAATATTAATGAGAAAATCACAGATACTGAATTTATTTAAGTGTTCCTGGAAAAATCTGCCACATGTATCTTTCCTTTCCAAGAAAGTAGGACTGAACATGTCTTTCTGATTTAAGTTTGTATTTTATCTTTAGTGTATGACATTAATTAATTTTTTTCTTCCCAGGGGTGGTGATGTTTTGCCTTTCTTAGAAAACAAACAAACAAAAAGCCAAACAAACACCCAACACAATAATCAAAACATCTCTGGCCACTGAGATAGATACACTTTGCTACTAAGCCAGAAGTTTTCAACTATTCTTACTAAGTAATCCAGGCTTCTATGGTTTATCTTAATAATTAGGGGAAAAAAAAGTCTTAAAAATCAGTACCTTTGACTTCTCTTCATTCTCCCTGTAGAACTCAGCTATCTGTTCTTCCTTCTCCTCAATGATGTCCTTTAGAGTATCCACTTGGTAAACCAAGTTGTTCTTCTCATTGTCCAGCTGGGCATTGGAAACCATTGCTTTCTTGTACTTCTCTTCAACCTCAGCCAGCGAATCCTGCAGAGGGTAGAAAGGCTTCAGTTAGTCCAGCTTTCTGATGCATTGTTCTAACAACAAGATACCACCACAGCACTGAAGGGTGATGTCTGTTATGCAGTAAAATTATGCAGCTCTTTTTGTTTCTGAATTATATTCATGTCTTCTCTTTAGAGACACCAAGTCACAGTTCAAACGCCATTTATTCAGGTTAGGTCATACATACAGCCATGAAAAGTTATCATCACAGAAGTATGAGAATTACAAGGTAATACTGCACTTGCATTTTCTACTCTGCCACCTTCACAACTTAACTCCCAGGGATAAAGCAGTGAAGTCACAGCTTTTTTGGATTTTCAGTGCATGCACGAGAAAAGACTTCAGAATGAAGCAACAAATCTGACAGAGATAACTCAGTCAATCAAATGACTAAAAAGGATCACAGAAATATCTTTAAGAGCAGCTTTAACTTAATGCTTATTATTTAAGTAGCACTCTGTTACCCCAGACTCAAAGTTGTAAGGTAGTCATATTTTTCCAGTAATAATGATGCTCTATTTAAGCAGGCATTTTGTCTTCCTTTTTCTTCCTAAGATTTTTTTTAAAAAAGCATGTAATAAAGATTTACATGCTAGATTCTCTACCTGGAGGTGCACATATGCCTTGCTATGTACCCTTTTATGTAATTCTCTCACATTTACCCAGATGATTTTATCCTATCATTCTTTTTCTCAGTACTGTAACAAATGTCAACTACTCAAATCCTAGAAAAACTGTCACCCCAGGCACTTTTAAATATGCAATGATTTCAACATGCATTTCTTTAAAAATACAAAACTTGAGTTTCACAGAGTCCTAATTTTAGAATTGAAAAAGAACTCTGAAGCCATTCCCTTCCCAAAGTAGGTCTGTGCCCTACTACAAATCCCCTAGTATTGCATGTAATCTGTTCTCTGAAGGGATAAGGAGCATAACCTTCATTTTTAAGTATTTGACAGTAGAAGTACTAGCACAGAAAGGGCACTAGGCTTGTTTTTTTCCAGAAAACAGAAAAATAGGACTAAGAAATTAGGAGAAAAGGTGGTAACCATCTAGAGTTTCATAAGAAAACATTGGAGAGTGCTATCTGTTACACAGTAAAATCATGCAGCTGGTTTTGTTTCTGAATTAATCATGTCTTCTGAGATCCCAAGTCACAGTTCCCTCATAAGATCTATATATATTGCATTATCAGAAAATCAGAAAAGCCCAACCCTCAGGCTCTATTCCATGTAATAAATCTCCATTTTGAGAAAGCTGTCCTTAAAGTACATATTTTACTTTTTATAATTTTCTCATAATGACATTTATTTATACCTCTCTGTTTCATTAATTTTGTGATGAAGATATACAGTATTTTAGAAACCCCAGAAAAAAATAACTTAAGATGTGTCCTGCTAGACTACAGATGAAAAGAGACACATCAGTTTAAGTAGTTAAAATATAAGAAAGGTTTCATCATTAGCTGGGAAACAGTAAACAGCAAAGAAGATTAAGGAAAGAAAAAAAATAATGAAAAAATAAATAATATCTCTAACTGCATTCAAATATTCTTAAGATTAAAACCACAGAAGACTTTTTTTGTGATGGTGTGAACATGACAAATGTTGAAAAGATTGGTAAAACAAAATGTCAGAGAATGAAAACCTTCCAAAGACCTTCAAAGAATAATCCCATTTAGAGTAAAAAGGAAAATATGAGTAGTAAAGGGAATGCTATGATCATTTTATAGGGAGATACAAAATTTATCACAAAGTACAACTGGGAAAAAATTCCAATTTGATTGTTTCTGTGAGTGTGGTGAGTAGTCACTTAAGCTGGCAGAGATCTCTGGATGCCATCTGGTCCAATCTCCTAATGAAACCAAGATCAGGCTGCTCACAGCTCAGCTCCTGTTCAAGTATCTCCAGGGATGCAGACCTGCAGAACCTGGCTGGACAATCTGTTCCAGTGTTTGTCTTCTTTGTGAAAAGCTTTTTTCTTGAGGTCTACTTGGAATTTCAGTCCTTGCAATGCAACTTCTGTCTGTTGCATCCTGCCCTGTCACTGTGCACCTCTGGAAGGAGCCTGTCCTGTCTTCTCTGCAGCCTCTGATCAGTCAGCTGAAAACAGCAACAATACTGCTGCCCACCCCCCAGCACTTCCCAAATCCAGCTGTCTCAAACTCTTATTGTATGCCACATGGACCAGGACTCCAGCCTTAGAGGGAGACTAAGACTGGGTTTAAAGGATTGGATTAAAATATCATTAATCAACAAGTTAATGGGGGAAAAGTCAGCAGTTACGGAAGAGGAATAAACTGATTTTCAGACAGAAGAGTGAGAATTGCTTCTGAGAAAGAAATCAAACTATGTTTAAAGGTTGGATTAAAATGTCATTAATCAACAAGTTAATGGGGGAAGTCAGCAGTTACAGAAGAGGAATAAACTGATTTTCAGACAGAAGAGTGAGAATTGCTTCTGAGAAAGAAACCAAACTATGTCTAAGAGTCTCTGACCAGTTAAAAAACAGCAACATCACTCAGACTTCTTTGGAACTGCTCCTTCTTTTCAAGTAAAGTACTACACATTTTCCCTATGATTCAAGAATTCCATGTCGAGTGAGAATTGCTTCTGAGAAAGAAATCAAACTATGAGTCTCTGACCAGTTAAAAACCAGCAACATTGCTCAGATCTCTTTGGAACTGCTTCTTCTTTTCAAGTAAAGTACTACACTTTTTTCCCTATGATTCAAGAATTCCATGTAGTTTCAGTAATCTTCCAGTTTGGTGAGAAATAACATGGATTTGGAAGAATTTCTCTTTGGAGAAATCTCATCCCACTTGAATGGGGCTGTGGGACGCCAAAGGATGAAGCAGTGGGAACGGGCTGAAATGAAAATGAGATAAGGCTCTGCACATGACCTAAAGCTATGAAGAAATACCACCCACAACTCTATCAGTCAAGCCAAGGGGCTGTGCAAATTAGCCTGCTTGGCTAGATGCATAAACCCAGCAGACATCAAGAGAGTGCTCTGTTAAATTGAAGAAAGAAAAAGGATTCCTTTCTAGTTGATGCAAGGGGATATAGAAAGGATCAACAAAGTTGAATCAGAGTTGAGACAGGACAAGATGTGAAGAGCTAATTCAATCAGAATTATCCACATATGCAAATATCCAAAGGTGCAAAAGTGTGAGAGTTAGATTAATTCTGAAAATGTGAAGCAATCTCACATTATATCCAAGCTTAGTACAATCACAGCTATGTCTAACAATCTTGTAATCCACTGCTCTTTGAAGTCCTTTTAATGTTCATGTGGCAATATGCCTAAAACAAGACACAGTTCATCTGAGCTTATGGCTATCAGATTTGCAGTTACTTATCCCTAAAGAGGAAATAATTTTTACTACACTGAACAGCTCAAATTATGTATTTTCTCTTCGTTATACCATTTAATATCTTGTTTAACTAAGGAAATTCAAGGAAGCTGTTAAATAGGTCACTATAACATGCTCCAGTACAAGCAGCACTCATTAAATTCAGCCTCTAGATGGATATAAAACAAATATGGAAGATCTCTCTAACTTTTACGTGGAACCACTCACGATTAGATAACAGGAAAGAACAGAACAACTATCCTGAAAAAGATTTGTAAGCCACAGCATTTGTTGTGTTCAGTTTCTCTTCAACACAGAAGAGGGGAAAACAATATCTGAACTGAAAACTGTGAGAACTTAAAAAAGCAAAACATCCATTATAATTTACACAAGTCAAAATACAGACAAATCCCAGTAACCTAATGCTGAAAATACAAACCTATAATTTAGACAAAGATAATGGGAATGTAAACCATAACAACAAAAAAAATTAATCTTTTTTAATGGCAAAGGATTAAAAAAAAAAAAAATTCTCCTGCAATCAATATGCCTTCCCAGATTAATTTTGGCACATCTTTTAAAAATATTAATTTGGGTTTGTTTTATAAAATGTAGTATTTGCCAAAACTTGAAAGCTAATTCTTAATTTCTCAGGTTCTTTGTCAGAACTATATCCCAGTTCTTTTTTGCCAATTATTCTTACTCAATTATTTTGAACACGCATTTGTTTAATAAAATTCTAAAAAAATATATAAATGGAACCTCTCATTATCTTACCAGTAAACATTGCTAAAAATATTTGTGTGATATTATTTTAACATAAACCAAATAATCAACACACTATCTCATGTACCTTTAAATAAATCTTATCTTAATAATTTATTACACGACAAATTTAAGCTGATGCTCTGTATGCATTAAATGTTAGATACATGCTTTAAAGACATTAAAAAACTTATTAGTAAAGCCTTGCATAGTTAGTGGAACCAGTGATATCTCCATTACCCAAAAATATCCATACAGAATGCATGCTTGGGAGTAGCCCTGATACCTTTAGTTCTTTAAGTCCCTGCATGTATCTCCCTTCTACATCGTGTATCTGGTCCTTAAGATCATAGATATCCTGCAGGACATAGGAATGAACCATTGCATAAGAAGTAAGGGGAAATAAATTATAGTTGAAAAAGCATTAAAAGGCTTACATGCATTTCTATCAAATGTCAAAGCCTGCAATAATTCACAGAAATTATAACTGATACACAGCAAATTAATGGAAATAAATGAAGAACTCTGTTACATCCCTGAATCCAAGCCAACTCAAATAGGACAGAACTGTTTCAGATCTGACATAAACAAAGTCTTATTTTTACATAAGCTAAAATGTTAGCACCATAAATATTTATGAACACAACAAATACAATTACCAAGACACAGAAATCTTTCATGACTGAAAATTACATCCTTGTAATTTTTTCTATTACAAAAGCAGAAGTTCTGTAGCACAGAGAAAATTCCTCCTAACCACAAATGGAAATTTAAACTAGCTCCAAAGTCTCTGGCAATGCAGCTTACCCGTAATTCACTGAGGGAGGCATCAGGATCCACCAAACTGCTCGTGTCTCCACTTCCCCTCCTGGAGGAGTTGCCACTCAGAGGAGTTGCACTCACTGAGTTGCGAGACGATGGCTTAAAAAAGGGGAAAACATTGTTTCAGGAATAATTTCTGGTAAACCTGACATCAGTCTTTATAAATTTCTTCACTTTTCTCACCTTTTTAACATTTCTTAATATTATCTTCTAGACAATATTTTCCATTTATTATTTTCCAGCACTTATGTTTCTTGGTGAAATGTTAGCTTCTCTTTGTGACTTACCACTTATAACACACAGCTTTAAGTTGTGTGATCAGAAGACTTTCATAAGGTGGCTGCTAGTGCTGAAAAACTGAAAGTTCAAAATCTTTCTAAAAATTATCATTTCTGCCACCCCAGAATTCAGAAGAAAGTCTCTGGTGGAATCCAGCATATGGATTTTTATAGTCCTTTCAACCTTTCCTGCTAAATAATTCTTACACAGAAAATAAATTCTATAGGAAACTAATGCTTGCTAAAAGACACAAAGCATTCATTCTGCAGATAAAAAAATATACCCCAAAATATCTCTTTGCAAGGTCTTAAAAGTTAAGACACACTCTACTAAAACCACACAGCACTTATACTTTTCAAACTATTTGAATACTCGCAAATTTGTAAGCACCAACTTTCAATAATTATTAAATTAAAAACTCTTACCCTTGAAAATATTTCTGAATGTGACTTTTCACTCTTTTCTTCCAGCTGAAAGAGAAAAGGGAAAGTGATCACAACACACCTTTTGCAATGAGGGGCTACTGAAGCACCATCTTCTGTTCAAAGATGCTGAGAAATATTTAAGAATAAAAGATGAAACAATGATCAAGACCAAGGAAAAAATACTTGGCCTGAAAAAGTGATTTTTACCTCAACTGCAACATAAACGAGTGCTTGTAAAACAGAAAAACACCTATAAACTTTTAAAAAAGTTTTTTAAAAGTCATTACCAATATAAAAGTAGTGAATCACAAAAGGTGTTTCACTATTTTAAATTTGAGTAGGGTAGTGACTGCAATGCTTGGTGGCAAAACACAAAGCTCCATGCAAGTGCATTTCAGACAATGGGTGACACCAGTGTAAATACCCATCAGAAAACAAGTTTGTTCCTTCAATCTGTTTTGTGAAACCTGCAATTACACCAGGACAAAAATAATTCACATAAAAGCCTCTGACTTAAGTGTACTAATTAATAGTAACCTAAAAAATAATTTCAATTAATGTTTTATTTATTGAAATGTAAGCAAAAGAACTACCATGCTCCCTTCTTATTTAGAAGATCAATACTATAAAATTATATTGCAGATTCCCATATTTTCTGCGTTTCTATAAATCAAAATAAGTGGAATTAAATGAAGGCCTTAACACGTTGCCATATTTTCAAAACTAAGTACAATATATTGACTATGGTATCTCAAAGGTCTTTTTTTCTCTGAGGACATGTTTTTCTCCCAGCCCAGGGAAAAGAGATTTGGAAGTCTGCTACAATCACAGAAGAAACAGCTGTTATTTTATGAGATCTTTCATTTCCCTTCTATTATGGTTTCTGTAGAAGCAACATTGCACTCCCATGGCAAATTCACCACCTCCAATGATGGGCTGAAACTGCAAATTGCATATATTTGCCATGACTCTGATGATAAAATGATGTGAAGAATGCAACTGATCTGAAGCATCCATTTACAATAACTTCCATAAAAATATAAATTTGGAATCTAATAACACATAACAACGATGATGATACTAAAAGCAAACAGAGAAGGTAGCACAGCTGCCAGCCTCAGCCTCCACATTTTCTTTTAGCAGAGGATTAATTTCAGAAAAGCAGGATAATTAGAGCAAAAAAAAATCCTAAAATTTAAACTGGAGAAGTGATTGATCTCTCATGCACTGAGCATCTACAGACCATAAATAGATTGTTACAACCCAAGTTGCAAAGCACTACAGGAGTACTCAATCCTCACTGCAGAATCACAGCAGGAGTGGCTGTGGGAGTACTCCAGCAGTCACCCAGTCCAGCCTCCCACCCAACGCAGAACCACTGCCAACACTCCAGCTCAGCTGGGGCTTTGTCCAGCAAAGTCTCACCAGCTCCTGAGCATGGAGGTTCTCCAGCCTTGCTGTAACTTGTCAGAGCAAACACTAACCTCCTTGTGGAGCTTCTTGCCTGTGGCTAGTCTGAACCTCCTAAACTGAAGTGTGAGGCTGCTGCCCTTTGTTGCACTGCTTCTTGCCTCTCAGCTGATCAAGTAGTTGCAGGCTACTCATCACCATGTGGCATCCCTTTTGCCCAACTCAACAAACCCAGTTCTCTCAACCTCTCCTGCTACACGTGCTAATCCTGACTGATTTCAAAGATATGCCTAAGAACACAAATTAACACTATTAAGCACAAAAAAAAATTGCAAGTAACAAGAATGTCTAGAAGTCACAACAGTAATAAAGTTTTGTGTAAAGGTTTGGTGTAAACAGTGTTGAGACTGAAGGGATCCACGGGAAACCATCAGGATAGATTTCCTCTAACATCTCTATTGACTTGGGATTTGGTGTAAGAGCAGAGCCAACAATGACTGCTCCACTAAGAGACCCTGACCCAACCTCATCTTTGATGCATGAACACTAAAATACACTAATGAGAGCACAATTTTAAGTACTTATTTTTGTTGCTAAACCAAGTAGGAGTATCCCAAAGATACATAAAACCCTAGACATGCTTAATTTATGGAAGAAAAAAACCCCAAGGTTTTACATTTAAGAGATACTTAAGTTTATCACACACAAAACAATGTGAAGTGTTAACGCTTGTCACATGCTTCTAGCAACAGGCAACACCCCCTTTAAAATAAAGCAGCATGCTTCTTAAAAATTCAGAGTCCAGATATTTTAATACAAAAACCAGCCCAAATCCCTCAACAGAACTACTTGGCATTAAATAACTCTGAATGTTTGTATGGTATTTACTCTTTCAGAACACGAAAAGCAAATCCCTGGTTAGTGAGCCTGCTGTGTTCACCCCGACGTAACGAGCACGACACTCACACTGCTCAAACCTGGGACATCATCTGCATCAGAAACAATGCTCCCTCTGCGGGTGGAACGACTGAAATAGTCAGCAGCAGTTTCACTTTGAGCAGAAAAGTCAGAGGACTTCAAAAGATAAGGAGAAGGGTGAAAGAGAACTGAAGATGACACCACAGGATGAAGAAAAGTTTATTTAAAAAAATAAACAGGAAATCTTAACTTAAATCTCCATTATTGCAATTTATTCTTGCTTCTGTAACAGTTTAACAGCTGTAAAATCCTAAAAGTTTTTTAAGATTTTAAAAATCTCCTACAGTTCTGCTATTTTAAATGTGTCTACACGACTAAAATGTGTGCCACAGTGATAGGAATACTTTAGTCAATGTATGCATTGTTTTTATATACTCACTTCACGTTCTTATTATTGTTGGTTATGGTATCTAAAGCTAAAAACAATGAACATTTATTATTGATCCATTTTCTTCATTTGGATTAATATTAAAAAAATACAATCAGAGATACAGAAGGATTTAGTACTTATCTAGTGCCAAATGCAAGCTACAAAAATTACCTTTTTTGAAAAAAGCTCTGCAGATCATAAAAGCAGATTTACTACAATCAGAAGCTGATAAATAAAAGTTACTAATTTTACCTACAAATGTTGCCTTTTCTTCAAATCAACACAATCTCAACACTACTAAATATGATTAGGATCTGGGCTTCCTCTCATTCCCAGTTTTAAGAGGCCTTACATGAGAAGACAAGCTTATTCCCCACAGCTTTATGTCAGACAGGCACCTAAAATCATCAGCTAAAAATGCTAATGCTACACATCACTGGTTAAAGAAGGAAAAATACATCAAATGACATTACAGTAATCACAAGTGCCACGGGAATTCAAGAGAAATATGGAAGTGAGAAAACATCATGCACATTAAACACAGTATTTGATGAGAAGAGTAGGTTTATCAGAAGGGTTATATTGGTGACGTTCCACTTCAAAAGGCAGAAAGTTACTGTGAACATTATATTTCATTTTAGAAGTGATTATATGAGAGAAAATTCTTTAAATGAACAGTTTGAAAATACATTGATTTACCCAATTTTCACCAGTTAGAAAACAATCCTTAATTTCTTTGTACTTGATGTACGTAAGTGCTGTAGCCTTATCTTATTCTTATTAAAAGATAGTGAGATGTCTTTTATATAAATCTGACCAGTTACATAGAAAACCATTTGCTGATGAACATCTGTCTTGGATTATGTATACTTGATATTTTTGTCACTACTAGTTTAAGTTCTATTTCTCTGACAATTTTCCAGCTATATCTACATTTTAAGTAATATCTTTATATTTTTTAAAACAACAAAGTAAGTCCATTTTTGCAGCCAGAAATTGGGCTAAACTTCTATATTTCACAAAGTATAAAGATGCTGAATTCTGCCTATATGAATTATGCTTACAGCAAAACAAAAAAGTGAAGAGCTACAAACCACCTAGGATAACATTATGCTCTTTTTCCTTCAAAACCAACATATTTCTGCTGATGAAGGGTCCATGTGTTATATTTTCTACTTTTCCTCCTTCCAGACCTTTCCTACTTCTAAGATCTTGCTGAATGGGTTTATGAAAATCTATATAATTTAGGATGGAGATGCACCATACAGTTTCTCACCAGCGTTTTCTACCCCGTTTCCATCTTCTCTCCTACTCTCTGTTTTGATTTCCAGTCAGTACTGAGCTGACTTCTAATGCACTACCCAGAGTGAAGCCAAAATATTAACCATAGAAACAGTAGACAGTTAAGTTGTGAATAAGATTTTTACTTTATCTGCTTTTCAGAATTACTTCATTAAACAAATGTTTGAACTCTGTTAACATTCACTAGTGTGTGTGTGAATGGTACCTTGGCATTATTGGTATCATATACACAATGAGATCTGAGAGATAGAGATATATTCCTGTATATCTATAAAGTATATACTTTTAAGAAATTAATCCTAACGTTGAGAGAAACTAAGGAGACAAGTAGTATTTTCACAGTTCAAGAGACTTTACAGATGGATCTTAAAACCTCTTAGGGTTTAGAACTTTATAAAGAAAGAGCAAAATTCCCTTTTTTCCTACACCCTCAAAAATTCATTCTGACATCTGTTGTTGATAAAATCATCCAGTTTCTGAGAAATCTGTTTTTATTATTTCAGGCTCTATGAAATTGTTAAGACTATGTGGAAAATGAAAAAAAGAACCAAACATTTCCATTTAACCCATACCAGAACACTTATCTACTTCTTTGTGTAGCATGAGACATGAGCAGCTGGACCAATGAAACTAGGACAGTTGTTCTGCAGCAGAACCCAAGGAGAACCATTTCAAATCACTTTGCAGCACAAAAAGCCATCTTTGGAACGACAATTTTAACACAACAGAGATCCAGGAACAAATTTATCTCAGTTTTGAATACCAGTCATCATAAAAATGAGCCAGCTACTTCTTACTGCATGACAGAACATAACATTATCCCTCTTCCCCCCGAAAAAGATTTTTTCAAATGTTTTGTAGTAACAGTTTCATATTCCCACTATTATATGAAGAAACCCCAACAATGTACTGCACTCCAGTTTCCAACTGCTTCCAATTATATGTTACAAACATTTAAAAGATGTTTAGAAAAACAAATTCCTTACTGTTTCTACACTTTACTGTCTTACTAAAACTCTAGATCTTGCTAGAAATCACATCTTTAAAATATTTTTCCTTTTTTTTTGATGCAGAATTAAAAAATTGAGTCTCTGTGTTGTCAGTAGAACGATGCCCAGTGTAAATACTCATCAATTTTGTGTGTTAGTGTCAAAGCAGACAGCAAACCATGCAAGAAGATGCTCACCACAGGACTACTTCGAATTGAGCTTGCTCTTGAAGAGAAACTGTATTCAGATGGCTAAAGGAAAGTTAGGAAGGAAATTTTCACAATTTTCATAGATTTCTGTCTCCAGAAGACAAAGATAATGCAAGAAACAACCAGAAGCCTGTTACACTTACAGTGCGAGAACTACAGGAGTTCTGTAACCCATCACCACACACAGATGCCTGAGGAAGAGCCAAGGGAACACTGTTTACAGTCAGCCTCAGAAACAATTATGCCACACTCTCAAACACTCCAATTCTTACAAACTGTCATGTGCTGTGACTCTGTGATTCTACTCTATCTTATCCCATCTATGCATTTGTCTGTTAACACTATACTTTTTGAAAGGACATTCTTAAAAACTTCCAGCAGCATTTCCTCCAGTTAGGGATACGAATCTCCACATATAAATTTAAGAATTTCCTTGAAAAACAGCAAACTAGTTGTTTTTTTTTTTTTTTAATCAATTCTTAACTATTTTCAGAAGAAAATGCAATCAAATATTGAAATTGTGATCCAATTTTCACTGTTCTGTGGGAACTGAAGCTAAACTGTACACTTGGCAGTTTTACATTGTGCTCACCCACAGAGGTTTTCCTGAAGGAGAATGTTTCAAGGTACAAGGCTGAAATCTACTTATGTATTGGATAATAAAACCAGCTCTGGACAAAACAATTCAACAATAAATAAAAAATTAAAGTCTCATGCTGCTTTCTCCCCACCTACAAAGAGATCTCTAGTACCTAGGTTTAACATGTCTTAAATGGCAGCGTAAGCTGGATTTGAACTCCTGGAACAGCAAAAGCCAGTTTCAGGCATGCATGTAATTTCTTAAAGACAATTTTTTGTAGAGCCATCTTAGCCATACTCGTGGCACTTCTAACTACTTTTTGTTTTGTAAAGATGCAGATTAGGTTTTCAACTTCTTACATTTTTCTACAATTATTAACTTTAAATACAGCATCTTATTTTAAAGTATTTAAACTGTATTTATTACAAATTTCAGTAGGCTCCCAACAATACATTTTTCCTGTACAAATGCTTAACTTCTTTAAATACTTTATTTAGTACTTAACATGCAGTTGTTATTTAGTATGCTTGGATTAACTTATTCTAACCTCAGTATTCTTCAGCAGCATTGTGCTATTCATAAGCTTTATGCTTATCTGTAAAAAGATCAGTAAAACTGCAACTCCCAAAACACTTTAAAGAGGCAATTTAACAATGTTAAAAAGCATTAAACTGAATGCCTCCACAAAATGACACACACAAGCTGCAGTTTTATTTAAATGCATGAAAAAAATGCACATGTAGTACTGTCAAGCCTCATGGCCATACAATACAAATTGAAGGCAACCATGCAAATGGTGCTTACGAACCAAACTGATACTTCTTATCAAACCAGTGTTTACAGAAGGAGACACCTATGAAAAAAAGCTCAATTTTATATTTGAAAGCCATTCAAGATCTAAAGATAAGCAAGATACTATTTTATATTGTACTAACCCTGTAACTCCTAGTTGTTGCCACTGGATCACTGTATAGAGAAGAAGACTGTAGTGTGAAGAATAGAAAAAAGTCAGAAACACTTTTTCTGTGTTCATCAATGTTTTAATTTATTGCTCTGTATTCCCCAAAAGTTTTAAAGATTAAAATACTAAATTTTACACCCCTAACAGACAAGAACTTAAAGTGTGGATAAACACTCCAAGACAAAACACTAACTTTGAAATCATCATGTAAACCATTAAAGCAATCTAGTATTTTTCTCAGATTTGTAGAAAAGAATAATAAGACATTAAGTAGCTTTCAAAAGACACAATTTCCTCCAGCTACTTATTTAAACCTGATCATGACAGTAGCTATAGGTACTGGAAGATACTACATATCTCATGACAAGACTGTTGATTTACCATTTATATTACTGTAGAAGAAAGTAGTACATTGGTGCTAAACTTCTAAGACTTTTGTTGTTGTTTAAAAACAGGATTTTAAGGAAGCAACTGCCACAGCTGCTAGTTGTTTTCTTTGTATCATCTAGCAACCATGAAACAAAAGTTATCTTAAATTTAAGACCCCGCATACATAGAACACAGAGTAACTTCCATGTTACACACTCATTTCATAAAAGGTAACCCTTAAAAGTAAGAAATACAATTGTAACTATTAGCTGTAAGAATTTGCAGTGTTACAGAGGAGACAGAAGTTTGCTGCATACAATACAGGTAAGCAAAAGCAAATCTATGTGTTTAATAAGCATTAAAAAAGTAATAGAGGAATAGGAGACAGACCCGAGGATGGTAGGAAGAAACTGGTTTACTATATCTAAGGCTGCTATAATTTCTTTGATCATAGTAAATTCCACTCTGTGGGGGGAAAAGAGAAAACAAAGATTGCATCTATAGAACTTTTATTTACATCTGTCTCAACATTGCCCAAACGTTCCCAACTTAGAACTTGTACTGTAAAAATTTTCCCTATGGCTGACCCAAAATCCATATAACTTCTGAAGCAAGTAAAGTGTAAAAACCCCCAAAACTACTTATGTGTTCAGCATTAATGTTATCAGCATTACCTGTACTTTTAATGCCATGCCCAACCAAAGTAGTAATAAGTTTTGGCTTTTTTCTGCCTGATAAATAGGAAAATCCTGAGAAGTTTATCTAAACCCTAACAAGTGCAGCATGAAATACATTAAAAACCAGACTTGACAAAACTTGTTTACAATTAAACAAGTACAATGATTTGCTTGATTTCTCTTCCATTAGGATAGCATCCTCAGAGCATTTGGGGAGAGAGAAGGACAGAAATTCCTAAAAACTTAATAGAAGATGGATGTTGGTGTGATCAGCATTACTCTGTACCCTGCTGCTGCTCTGTAAATCACCCGTGCTCAGTTTTGCCCAGTTTTGCCTTATTTGACACTTCCTCCATAAATTGCATATATAAATGCATGTGAGGAAAAAAAATGAAATACACACATAAAGAAGGAAAAACAGAGAGATGAAGGCATGGGAAAAAGTAATGCTTTCAGACTGTAGCACTTTGTATCGCCACAGGAGGCAGATTCCTACTCCTCATTTATTGAACAGAGGGAACAGGAAAATAGAATCTCAAAGCACAGAGAAATGCTGTAACACAAATAATTGCATGTAAATACAAAAATTATTTCAGCCTTGTCTCAACACAGGCATCTACTGCTGCTCTGCCTACCCCAAGACTGTAGGACTTTGTATCCCCACAGGCCACAGGAGGCAGAAAGATTCCTACTCCTCATTTATTGAACAGAGGGAACAGGAAAATAGAATCTCAAAGCACAGAGAAATGCTGTAACACAAATAATTGCATGTAAATACAAAAATTATTTCAGCCTTGTCTCAACACAGGCATCTACTGCTGCTCTGCCTACCCCAATCCCTGACCCAACTGCTCCTTCATCAGTTTCAAAACCCTCTGAAAAATTACACCCAAAATATCTAATTTCTTGGCACTATGTTCACACTGCACGTTGAGCTTTCTATAATACTTTCTGGAAGATCATAATAACCCACGTCCCTTTCTCAACAGTTCAGCAGTTTAATGTCAAGGAGTATGGTAAATTCAATCTGCTTCACATCTACCATTTAAAATATCTCTAACTGATAGGGGACAAAGTGTAAATAATAGAATGCATATCTCCATCCTAAACTGAACAAGCTTTAATCCAGAGTTTTAAATATCTCCAAGAACCTTCCCCAGTAAAACATGGTTTGTATTCAGCTGATTCCATTCATAGGGTTTCACTGCTATGAGCAGTTTCAAACACTCAACTTCAGGTCAGAATTTGGTTAATACTAGAGGTTCCTTTTTTCCTGAAAACATTTCTGCTTATGTCAGCAAGCTAATAAATTTATCCCTAGCTGCATCAGTATGTAACTCTACATAGTTAGTGTAGTTATGATAAATATTATAGTCGAAAACTAACCAATAAATCTTTATGAGAAGAAGCAGCTTTCTTCTTTGAGCTATGAGGCTCACTGTAAGCATGACTCTAAGAAGAAAATTTAGAAAATTAATGCCACTATATAACAGCATCTTCAATCTTAAAATATAAAGAAGTCAAACAGAAGGATTTAAGATTTTTATGACGTACAACAGAAAGACCACAGAAAATTCTAACTAAATGATTAATGAAATGGTCAAGCTGTACAAAAAAGAAAGGATAACTGCAACTATAAACAACCTAATCTCTCATTAACCCAGACTTGGCTTAAGCCAGAGCTCACATTTCACAAAAAAATTTAAAAGCAATAAAAAGACTAAAGAAGTTTAACATTACAGATTGTTTTAAGCACGATATGGTGTTTGCCTATCTGTAGCTAATTCAGATAACACTGCTGTTCAAACAAATTCAGCCTTTTAAGCTGCTTACATATTTCCTTTAGGGGTACTTGGTGCTTGTCTTTGCTTACAAAGACACACAACTCCTACTTGGCATTTACACAGCAATGAGAATGTGAGGAAAAAAAACCAAGGAATTTTTAAAAGTAAAGGTATACAAACCACCTGCTTTTCCTCAGGACTGAAGTAATTTTCCATTAGATTAAGTTAAAGTTTCTATATGGAAATGGAGAATACAGACACACACATATGCACTTTTTTTTCTTTTTAAGAAGTATGTGCTCCAAGTCTAATCTGTATATGTCACTTGACTACAAAGTTTAGGAATCACAAATAAATACGAAGAAGTAGTTACTGTAAGTCAGCTGTCTGTAATGTGATTTCTATGGAGAATACAGATACACACATATGCACTTTTTTTTAAGAAGTATGTGCTCCAAGTCTAATCTGTATATGTCACTTGACTACAAAGTTTAGGAATCACAAATAAATACTAAGAAGTAGTTACTGTAAGTCAGCTGTCTGTAATGTGATTTCTTTAAATTTTTCTCCCAGAAAAAGTTCATACATGCATTCTAAGGAAAGTGTTAATTGTGCTGTTCTAGGTCTGAGAGTGGGATAGTACAAATTTATACGCTTTTTAAAATCAATAATTCTAAGTAGCTAGTTACTGTCATTACACCTTAAAAACAAAGCACAAAAGCAGTCTTCACTCAAAAGACATGCAAAGTGGTAACATACAGGGGCCGAGTATCTTGCAGATCTATCCTTAGCACTGTCATACTGAAGTAAAAGAAAATGAAACAAAAATCATCAAGTTAAAAGAGAAAGGATTAAAAATAGCTTTTTTTTTTCCCCAAAGAATGACTAAAAAGACTTAAAAGGAAATTACAAGAAAACATTCTACTAATTACAAAGATTTATGCACAAAGGAATGCCATTTATCCAATCTAAAGGGCATCCTGAGGGTGGAAAACTTTAATAAAAGCAATTTTTTTCCCCCCAACAGCACTCCAATTTCTGAAAAGGGAGTTATTTTGGACAGCAGTAGTTATGTGAAATATTTAATGTGGTTTTGGCAACAGAATCTTAAATAATTAAGCAAAGTCTTGGGCAGTAGATGGTATTAAACTGAGGCAGTTATTTGTTAGGTTATGTGGTAAAAGGCTCATCTCCACACAGGCAAAAGGAGCCCAGAGGACCATGAGGCAGCCCCACAGTTGGGGTGTGAAACCCACCTCAATGTTGGGGCTCTCCAGGGCACCTTACAGGCAGAGGGATGTTCCTGCCTACAGGGCAGGGAAGACATTATGGGATGTAGGAGATCCCATGGTCTTGGGATCAAGAGAGGAATGAAAGGAGAGGGAGGGATAAAGGTGCTCTCAGGAGGAGAAAGCATGCCAGAAAGAGGAACAGTGAGATTAAAGGGACACCTGTATGTAAAGAGTTAGGTAAAGTCAGACCTGCTGCTCTGACAGATTTGGCCATTTTTAATACATATGAAAACATCTTTCTAATAACAGCTTAGCCACTGTCCCTTGTTTCATGTCATTCAACAATGGCAAAATCTGTGGAGTTTATACATTATTTTTTTTTAGCATACAAATCTTAAATTTTCCACACAAGTTTGGTTTTTTTCCAGTTCATTTAAAATTTCACATGATATACTAATAGCATGCTAGAGTATTACCCAGTGTAATTTTCAGCAAGAGAACTACTGAGGGGATTACAAGAAAAATAATTTCTTCTGGTCTGTTGATAGATCTGAAAATTCCTTCTAGAGATCAAATTAAAGGCAAATATTCTCTGGTTATAGATTTTGTATTTGTTTATAGATTAATATAGGTCAGGTTTAGTTTATACTATTTCACACTGTTTTCATATTATCTCAGTAGTTCCAGCATATCCAATATTCATACTATGGTGAATAATTTAATATTATTAATGAAATTTACAGACCATGGTAACTTTTTGTGTTGGTTAATGTCTTACCATAGGATCTTAATCAGCTTAACCGTTTATTCTTTTTTTCAAAAGTTTTTATCTTTAATGATTATCTACCAATAAGCAGCCTTGCTCTTAGAGGATGGAGACAGATCATTCAGATCATCATCACAACACTTAACTTACACCTTTATTTAACTATTAACAACTTAATAGTCTACTAACAACTATTTACATTGCCTAAACCAGCAATACCACAAAATATACAGAAATACCCATTTCTGAAAACATAAAATTTGCAATGTTAGTCCCACAGAACATAATTGAGAAAAAAAGGTTTCCTGCCATAACTTTTAGCAACATCTTTGTACCTATCAAGGTTGATGTACAACTTTTGCCACTTTATCTTACATCTCTTTTGGGGACACTACAGGAGAGACTAATTCCCTTCCAACTTGAATTTATCTTCAAGACAGAAAAATTAACACTTAACACTTTCTTTGTGACCTCAACCTTGCTGTCAAAAAGCACTGAATTACATCAACCACTGCAGCAGTCCAACTAACACCATTTCCAACAGAGAAACCAGCTTCCACCAAACTAATGCTTTGGTAAGTAGACACAGAAAATGTTATCATGGGAACACATCAAAGCATGCTCATTCCAGGCTACACACCACAAGATCTCTCCTTCTGGAGGTGCTTGCTCTGCTCCTGTGAGACCCACTGACATCCAAAGAACTCTTAAGAATGAAATTGCAAAAATACATCAATACATAAAATAATTAACAATTATCATTAGAGATTTTGAAACTTCCTTGAAAGGCACAGAACGACCAAGGCAGTCAAAGAAATTCTGGCTATTCATTCCCCCACAACGAGCTCAGTTCTCTGCTAAATTCAAGCCCTGTTCTTTAGTCGAGGGTAAATTACTTAATCTCCATTTTCACATATTTTGTATGTTTAACCAAGGCAAGAGCAGAAACTGAGCAAATATGTATCAGCTCCTAAGATTTTAAGTATTGCCACACAGCACATTTTACAAGCTTTTTTCTGTAAACCATTTACTGTTTCTAAAGTAGTCGACAGCATCTGATTTAAACCATCTAGTTGGCAAAAATATGTGAGAAATTGCCAAAACACTTCACACCAGGACTTGCAAAACATTAGACAAAATTCAGTTACTTGAAGATTACATTTAATTGCTGAAACTTCTTAGTAAGTGACAATGACTTTTTTTTTTTTTAAAGTCATACAAAGAAATAGATTGTTCCACCTTCCAAAATAAACCAAACTCTGCATTTTATTTTAGTGGGTTGTCCTTCTTGTGGCCTATGTATGCAGATCAATGACAAGTTCATTTCTAGGCAGATGTAGTAAAACTAGGGAAATGCTTGCAAACCCTCAATAAAACCATTCTTTATCACTGTACATGACCTAGAGGACATAGAAGAGCCTGTACAACACAATGAGTACTTCTATTAGCAAGTTTTTTTCCACTAACGAATATATCCCCACATTCTCAAAGAAGCAAAACCCTGTATCATAACAAATTCTTCAAATTGTATCCTTAGGTGGTGCTACTTTTTCTTCCACAAATATTACAGAAACACAGTAATAATTAAAGTGAAAAAAAAAGAGAAAACAGTGAACAGGAGACCATCAGGATCAGTTTGGCGTCAAAGCCTGAATTACAAATCAGTGTTACCCATCTTCAGTAAGCAGCATTGATTCCAGTTGACTCTGAGCCAGCAGGAGTGTTTACTCTGTTATGTAAAATTTGCATGTTTGCACTATTTCTGAGACAGAAGGAAAATGGGAAAGAGATTTTTTTTCCCTGTTAAGGCTTATCTAACTAGACCAGTGCTTGATCATTAATAGCACCTTCACATCCAACCATGAGATTTGATATGTAGTAGTAATCATGAGACAAGTGATAACTCATGTAGGGATCTTAAGACTCCACCATTTCAAGACAAGCCAGTTAATTCTCACTAGCTGGCAATATCTGAATCCTGAGTAAAACTACTCAGCTTTTAAGAAAAGGAATAAATCATAATATATTAGGCTGGAATAACACTAAAAGATAGTACTTAAAACTTGTTCTTAAATATATGCTATTCCAGGTATTTGATTTTTGAACCGCATATATTTCCAAACTGTTTCCAAACACCTACTCAATTATTTTCAGCAATGAAAAAATACTGTAAATAAATGTTTGTAGAAAAGGGGGGGAGAAAGCACTAGGTATTTATAGTAAAAGCATAGTCAAAGAATCAAAGAATTAAAACAATTAAACAATTAAGATTCCTTTTAAATGCAAAGATTTAAATACATAAAAACTACTTTGAGACTGATGGAAATAAAACGCCAGATGAATTTTGTCATTATATGTGACTTAAAATACTGACCCTAAAACTACCAGTACTTGGAAGACTTAAAGCATCATCCACTCCCTAAGAAAATGAAACCAAAACCCCAATTTTTTAATTTTCTTTTCATAAAGGCCATGATGGAAGAGGAAAAATATACATTTTGAACACAAACCAAATATGAATGTCGACTGGACCGGTGAGAATACCTGGCCCTCTCTGAATCTTCCTGAGAAAGAAGAAATGCAGAGTTATTTCACAGAAGTGGGAAGAAAAAAACAAAAAAAAAGTAAAAGCAAACAAAGGTGAGCAACATGCTGTTAGTACTTTTAATGCTATATATTATTTTGAATAATCCACTGTGGCAAGTGAACTTGATTCAAGTCAGAACAACTGTGATTTCACCTGATTTGGGTAAGTATGCCAACACACTAATTTAGGAGATGTAAATAAGAGGGGGTTAATATATTTAATAATTAGTGTTCAGTAGTCATTCTTTCTTCTGATACCTGTATTAACGCAGAAAAAAAGTACAAGATTTTTTTAAATTAAGAAATTAAAGTAAAAATTAAATATTTAAAAGCTTTACAAAATTACAGGTACATTGGGAAGAAATTTACTATATAATTACTACAGTCAGAGTATGAATATTTTTCAAAGTTATTTTAGCCCCAATAGAGAGGATTATTCTCTGTTTCCTCATGCATATTTCAGATCTTCTCCTCTATTAAAGGAACAAAGCTTCTTAAGCAAATTGATCAATTATAAGTTCTGCAGGTAGTTCTGCTCTACAATGACAGTGAAAATAAAAAAACCCAACTTATAAAATCTGGGGGAGGACAAGTAGTTAAAGCACCTTAATATCTTTTGTTCTGTTGAAAGATCAGAGGATGTTCATTCTGGCTCACACAAAGGAGTATGGGAGAAGAAGTGGGACAGAAAACCAACTAATTTAAAATTAAATATTAAAATGTTTCACATGCCATAAGCTTCCCAAATCTTTAGTTACAGTAGGAAAGCATGTTAAGAATAAGCTTAATTAACTATCCCATTTGAAGGCTACAACAGGGCTCTAAAACTAGGAATATTTCCTTAAGTGATTCACTTCCTACAGTTTTTAATATGTCAAAGGATTCCAAAGTTTATAAGTCAGTTATCTTTGGTCTTAAAAGCTCAGTCTCCAGATCACAGCTGGGTCTCTGAAGTCTAAAGCTGGTTTTCATACTGCTTATGGTCACGTGGTTATTTTCTACATTATCACAGGATACATTAATTTGCTTAATATTACTATGTGACTATTCAAAAAGCCTCGTTCCTACTCTGCAAGGAAATCACTTCCCAAAAGGGGGAAAAAAAAATTCATTTCATAATGACATTTTAGTCTTCCTCTCTATAGCGTCTACTTTGAGGTTTAAAATGCACATTTATGCTGTTTAACTTTACAACACATTACAGTCAGATCACTGCTAATTTTAAATATGCTTTATGCCTGTGGTCTAGATGGATAAATAGCTGTTAATAACATTTCCAGCTTGCAAGGAGACAACCTGTTACTTATATAATATTCTTCTTAATTGTTGGTATAACATCCCAGCTAATAAGATGCTCCTATAATGCAAAATTTCAGCTTCTGATACAACTTTAGTACATTGCTGGAGGTAATTTACTTGCAGTAACAAGTCTCTTCTTGACATACAATCAGAAAATAGAATGTCAGTGTTAAGTGTTCAGCATATTCAGGTCAAAGGCTAACATAAGTACTGCAGTACAGACTGCAAACAGATAGCTGCTGCTGGTAGCTATCAGGTTTGACTTCTAAGAATTTAAGTTTGAAATATGCATTTTATCTAAGACAGAGGTTAGGTCTCCCAATGCAGGAAAGGAGAGAACAAATGCTCGAAAGCTCCTGCACTCCTACGAGTGCAAAAAGAATATGTGGGCAAAATGAAGGTGGCATTCAACTGGGTGGCATTAATTTTGATGTGAGAAAGTTCACATCTGTGTTCCAGAGTTTGGAAACTACTGCTTTCCAGCAAAAAAAAAACCCCAAAACATTCAAACGTGCATTCCACCCACAGATAACAGAAACCTGAGTTGTTCTTTGCAAGTGACACAAGAGCTAATACACACACAAATGTCAGCTAGGCAAAGAGACTATAATACAAAGTCAGCACAACTTCTGCAAATGAAGTTCTAATGACAGTTCCAGGATTTCTCAACCAAGTTGCCAATTAGCTGTCATGGTTTTAACAAGATCAAATTAGTCTCCACATGCATTAGTTAAATCTTCTTGATTTAAAACATTCACACAGTGAACACTTCTCTAAAAAGATAAAAAGTAACCCACACCTCCCATGTGCCTTTTTAGGCACATGAAGTTTGTGAGAGGAACTCTCTGAAGAAACACTGCACTGAACTAGTACAAATTGAGCAGCAGCTTTCTCAGATTGTAGCTCAACATCCTCTAGCTCTCCTCCTTCCTACTTAGTGGATTTAATCTAAATACATGAGCAGTCAAATATGTTACTGTTATTAATTGAAAACAAAGGGCAAGGGATAAAAGGCTGCAAGTGATACATGAAGTTTTTGAGGCAGGGTGTTTTTTTGTCTGTTTTGTTTCCTTTTTTAAAACATTTTACAGTTAATTTTTCTAAGTCATAAGTAACTTTAGACTAGCATCTGTCACACAACTCAAAGAGGAGACAAATAAATGCCAATCTGCTAAGAAAAAAAAAGTAAAAACCCCAACTGAAATAACTGAAATAAAAATATTTACTATTGAAAAGATGTTTACCTAGATTGCAACAAATATAATTTCATTTTAAATAGATTCATCACTTTAAACCAGCAGGTGTTGGAAACAAAAACCATTTCATTTTAAGAAAAGCATCTCATTTCATAGTTTGACTTTTAATGCTGTCAAGTATCCTGCATATCCACTTCCACATCCAGTTTAAACATAACTGCTTTCAGTAACAAACCACTTTGAAATGACACAGCAAACCATTAGTAAATTATTTCTGCCACGTCCTGTGTTAGTTCTCTGAGTGGGAAAATCATGCACAACAGGCAGTTTTAGCCTACCATCCATTTCTGGATATGAGCCCATTTTCTATCAAATGAATGCTGAGAAAACTACAGAACGTAAAAACAAAAACAAACAAGCCATTTACAATATAGATTAGTCAAAACACCAGACTGGGTTCCTACACAAAAAATTTGGGAAAATCGAAGTCAATTGCCAAGTAATCCTCAGTGTAATATCAGATATCTACAGCAGTTAGAAAACTTAAAGTATGGACTAATGAGAACCATATAAAATTGAGACAAAAACAGGTTTTGCAAATTGCGCTTGTTACTACTGTAGAAATTCCCTCCCCCTAATATCACCATTTACATGGATTTAAATGATGATAAATAATAAATTATCAATCTTTTGTATGCTATGTCAAAACCTGAATCACATGTAGTAACAATTAAATATCTAGACTGCTGAGAATCTTGTTCCTGGGGTTTTTCCCCCCAAAGAAATGCAAATGTTTTTTGCAACACATAACCCTATGTATAAATATTATCCAAATTCCATTATATTTTTTTTTTCAGATAAAGATCCTGACAATAGCTGTTTTCTGTGAATAATTTTGGTATAATCTATATCGGAAAAAAATAACTGAGAATTGCAGATCTAAAATCATACACCCAAATTATGCAGTTACTAAGTATAGTCAAAATACAAAAATATAGAAAAATAATTCTGCCTCTGTTTCATAGTTGTTCATCCTATACATTAGGCAATATACATTTTGGGTATGGTTATGTTTATTCATTATGCTGTGCTGCCAGTGATCAACATTTACATGGACTTTCTGCACAGCAACAACCAGAGGAACTGCCATGTGTTAAGTAATTGTTCTTCTAAAAGCATGAAAGTCATCAGCTGACTCAGCCACAAATCTAGTCATTCAAACACAGACAATATTGAACTTTGCAAAACAAGCTGAAAACTGTTCCACTCTATGCAAAATTATTTATGCAAGCCTGAGTTCTGGACATTGTCATTATGCTCTCTCTTCTGCTCATTTAAAATTAAATGAGCAGTAATAAGAAAGCCTTGGCCCTTTAAACATCTACAGATAAACATTTAGACTAATCTTTGTCCAATTTTGATTGCTAACATTGAATTTACTGTACTTGTTAAAGGTAAAACATCCAAGCATCTGATTCTGCCTGTATAGCTAGAATTTAAAATCACATAAGAAATCTTTTATTTTTCAGTTGAAAGCAAGTGCTAAAAGGCTGTTCAGTATTGCAGATTTTTCTAGAATATAAGCATAACTATTAAGGAAGTTCAAAATGAATGTTCATATTCATATTTTGTGAGGTGCTATCTACAGGTAAATACAAAGCCAGTTATCCTTTCAGATATATAACCTAAGGGGAAAGAAGAGGGTATGGGGGGAGAGAGAATCTAACAGTTGCCTGATGCTGAAAATACCAGCATGCAGTTGAATTGCTCAAAAAAAAAACCAAGATCTGGTGCAAGTACAGAAATAGAATACATTAAGAATTTCAGTAAAGGTCTGCAATAACTCCTGATGCTTTACACTACCTCTTTCTGCTGTCGTTCCAGCTCTCTCATACGTATATCTCTTGCTTCTGCTCGAGCTGCCCGTTTGGCTGCAAGCCTGGCTTCTGCCTACAAGCAAATTGAAAATACTGCAAGTTAAACACAGGTTTATTTTTTTTTTTTTATAGTGGTTTGAGCACTCAAAAACATCTTGACAAAAACACACTGAAGTTCTAATATCACAATACTTAAGTAGTAAAGAAAACAGTTCTCAGAATGAAATTTCAGAAAAGATATGTATCTAATTCTTTACAGAGAGCATTACTAGTCAAAACAATTACATGTTGATACAAGAACTGAGTTTATAAATATTACTATAATTACTTATAAATCTAAAACCCCCATATCTTGTGGACTTTAACAGGACTTAGCCAATGCATAGTATTTAAACATGGATGAATGCAGCTGCAGAATCTCCACAACTGTTTGTTCATATTTAAAGGCTCTGCTCTCATTTGGAATTATTTCAAAAAGCAAACATAACTTAGACATTCAACTAATTCAAACAGAAATCAAAATCAAGCATTAGACAAAATCTAAGATAGACATGTAAAGTTAAATTTCCTCAAGTTCCTAAGTCAAAACATTCACCCTCCCCAACAAGGGACTTCCCTGCCTTTCTACTCAAACCCTTACACTCCCAACACCTCCCCTGGGCACAGCTCCAGCCCTCAGAATCTGCTGTAAGGCAGTTTAACTAACCACCATTGCAGAATGTTAGCAACAAGTAGTTTTCTGAGTGTTCTGCTGTGTGAGTGAATGAATTGGCTCGTACAAGGTTCTTATGAACACCAGGCCCAGCAGAAGAATGGCCAGCACAAACAAGAGTGAGACCTCCCCCTCTTCAGTGGCAAGATGCTGTTACATCTGCACAGCTTGTGAAACATGGTTACTGGCACAAACAACTATAAATTTTCCCACTTTCTATCCAGCTTTAACCAAAAAAGCAGCATGTTGTCTTTCAGACCCTAAGTGCTACCTCAAATTTGATCAGTTAATTACATGAGGCAATAATTTTTGACATACAGCTAAGAGCTGAAGAAAACACAAGCTCGATTTTTTAATGTTTGAATAAGTCTATGACAATTTTCTCTTAAATTCTAGAAATATTAAACCACTGAGGACAGATTTTCCATCAAAAAAAAGTCCAGTTGCGTATCTAACGGTAATTAAAAAGTTACAAGAAGTTATAAAGTTGCAAGAAGTTATAAAGTTATAAGAAGTTATAAAGTTGTAAGAAGTTACAAGCAGCCAAAAATTCAGAACTCCTGACCTCAAAATCAGATAATTTTATAGAATTTCTTAAAAATTTTAAATTAAATGGGATTTTACCTTTGGTAAAGGATAGTTTTTTTCCTCCTTTTGCCACTAGCACAACACAGGTTAATATAAAACTCACGACAATTGCAAATGACTAATTTTTACTTCAGGAAAAGGAGTTGAACTCAGTTTAAATTATGATTAAACTACAGATACAAAAATATCTATCAAGTAATGACAAGACGACAAATGCATTGAATCTTTATTATTTAAAAGAGTTTGTCTCAACTTCAAATGACTCTCTTTATGACTGTTTTTCTGTATTTTGCATCCTCAGAGGAAAAGATTCCAGGTCTGTGTCAGCACTCTTGACTGGCACGATGCAACCCTTGTTCAGAGCAGCATAAAGCTACTCTTCTGCCTGCCCCAGGACAGCACACAGGACAAGCAGGAGAACTGCCCTGCAACAGCAAGTCTTTAGTCCTGTCTCATGTGCAGCCCCATTCTGTAACTGTCTGCAGTAACTCTGTGCCCTCTGAGCTCTCCCACAGACATGTACACAGCACAGAAAGGACTCAACTGATATGTCTGGGCTTAGTTCTGTCTCTAGACCCTTTAGCCTTTAGACTCTGGCAAGGCTTTAAAGATAGGAAAGTTCATTTGTTTACTGTTTTGTGCTAAAAATCAATTCACATTTCACCACTCTTT